CAATCTTATCACAACTCGCGAAGCACGTCGTCTACTCGCTCATCGTTGTCTTGACTGGTTTCCGCAAGTTTTGCCGTCTCCTGCCTTGCGGAAGCAGTTGACTACTGTGTTTGTCTTCACGTCTCGCCAGGCATTGAAGACCTCTGCGTGAAAAAACTTAGCGAAGATTTCCGGCCACTCCTTCATCATCCACTGCTGGATATCCTGGCTGCTGACAGCTTCGCTTTCGCCAGAAATGATTTTGCCAATGATGTAACGCTGCTTAAAGTGAAGCCAGTCGCTGTTGTCAGCGAAGTTGTTTCATCGAGTACAGCGGCAAACCATTTGGCCTTGGCAATCAGCATTGAGCCATCCACGGGAATGTTCTTCGCGCGCACTTCTAAAAACCAGGCATAGAGTGCCTTTTCTACATTGCCGTGGGCACAGGGGTGCTACAGCCAAAATAGAAATTGGAGCAATTTGTGGAGCAGGAAAACTTTGCTTTTGGACCAGATAAACCCAAATTTGGAGCAGATTATGGGAAGACATACCTCCATTTCGGAGCACGAAATTTCGAATTTGCAGCAGTTTAAGAAAAAATATTTTTTGCCATAAGATGACCTAAATAGCAAATAAACTGCTGAGAACATTAGCACAACCATAATAACACACAGCTTTCACACCTATTAACAAGACAAAAACAAGTGATCTTGGATATGGCAACAAGCTCATAAAACTTGATTAATAGAGACATGACAACTTGACTAGTCCAATCACTCAGCTTGACTAGTTCAGACACCATTCAACTTGACTAGTCTAGACACCACACATCAATGCTTTATTTTTTTCGAAATCTCTTCGAGCTCACTGAGCTTTTTAAGCGCAATCTCTAGGCTGGGGTTCCCCTTTGCCTACAGTACATGGCCACTTGACACTTTATTCATGATTTTTTTCTTGGCACCTGCATTGATTATTTCTTCTGCACTCGTGAGCAATGCCTTGCTGGCTGCCACTTGGTCCTCTAAAGCAGCTTTTGCTGCTTTGTGAGTGGACTGCTTTACTTACGACAGGATCTTCCGTTGCTTTGCGCTTGCTCGAGCTTGCCTCGAGAAAGAAACAAATAGTCCCTTTAATAAAGATCAATCGGCGCTATTCTTTAAGCTGCTACCTGGCAACACGCTCGCATTCGAAGGCGAGACGTGCACCGGCAGCAAGCATGCAAAAGACAGAATATCAATGTTTAGCGTAAACGTGACTGGAACTGACAAAATTCTGCTTTTCATGATTGGAAAGTCGGCGAAGCCTAGATGTTTTAAAGGCGCCCGATTGCCATCAGGGGTCATCTATCGCAGCAACACCCAAGCATGGATGATGACAAAACTCTGAGGAGTGCACGTGCCTCATCGATCATCATTTTGCGACTAAGAACAAAATAGTTGTTATTATTTTAGACAACACTTTGGCACACGTTGCCCTGGACAACCTGACAGCTGTGAAGTTGGCGTTTCTGCCACCACACACAACAGCGATTGCCCAGCCCTTGGACCAAGCAGTAGGGTTGACAGGCGGGCTAGTTGGTACAAATTTATAATAAGATAATTCGAAGCGCAAACCAACGGGACACAAGAGACTGCAGCAAATGTGTTCTAGAATTGAATTACAAAGCAGAATGAAGGCAGGTCTTGTGAAGAAAGGTTGTGGTGTCAAGCATGTCAATTCCTTCACCAAATGTCGATCTAATGTCGTTTATTGTATCCCACTGTCTTGCGGCAGGTTATAAATTGGGCAGACTGGGCGCTGCTTGAATATTCGCCTGCGAGAACACTACAATGCGCTGAAATCAGCCCTGCGTTTACATTTGTCTGCCTATTGCAAAAAGTGTGGCTGCGTACTTGATTTTTCGCGCACATCTGTCTTATACAGCCATCATGACATAAAAACTAGAGAGATTGCGGAAGCCTTTTTTTTTTTTATTAAAAAGAGTATTGATAGTTGCGTTAGTTCACCGTCTATATCACCGTTAGATTGTGAAATGTCGTTTCTGGACGACACCTGATCAAGGCGGAACCTTCTCCCCAGTTGTTTCTCTTTCTCATTTTTCTGGTATACAATTTCTTCTCTGAATAAATTGAGTTTCAGTCTGCGCTTGTTTGTCTCTTCTCTTGTGTCCCGTTGGTTTGCGCATCCAATTATTCCATTATGACCTTGGACCAAGGCGTCATTCGAACTGTAAAACAGCTCTACAAGAAGAATCTGCTGCGCAGATTCCTTCTAGCCATTGAATGTGGCAAATTATTCTCCATCGACCTGATTGGTGCAATTCACCTGCTCGAATACCTGCTGAAGCAACGACAGTTCGAAATTGCTTCAAGCGTGCTGGCTTCAGTGTGTGTGCGGGCGACACAGATGATGCTAGTGACACCATCGACCAGACTTCGTACATCGTAGACGAAGCTTGCGAAACTCTGCTAGCTGAATTGCTGAAGCGGGAGGGCATTACAGAAGGTATTTTTTTCCCTGACTTCAGAGATGCAGACAGTGATGTGCAGACATCTCCGGACATGTCCGACGAAGCCATTATTGCCTCGGTTGTCGAAGTGTCGCCATATGATAGTGATGAGGCCAACATGGGAAGTGACAACACGGGTGATCCAGGTCCGACAGTGGCCGAAGCTGCGCATTGCGTCAGCGTTATGCGGGTATTTGCTGAAAAGAAGGGGCTGGGGCTGGCAGAAAAGCTGGCTCGCAGCGTGAGTTTGGGGCCGCTGTCGTTGCTGCTAGGCCGCCGCATCGTCAAATGAAGATTACAGACTTTGTCATGCGAAGTTAATAAATTACTGCACGTTTTTGTTCTTTCATCGCACTCCCTGAAGGTTTCTTTTTTTTTTTTTGACAGGTAAGTGGGCAACCGGACTAAATTATGACCTGACTCAGTTAAGCAGTACTACCGTTTAGTACGTACTTTTTCCGAGCTCTGGCAAACTACGGTTTAACGAGGTTTCACCGTATATCGAACTCGAAGGGGATCGGGAATTAGTTTGGTATATGAAAAATTCAATATAAAAAAATACAGGCCCTAAGAGCTTACCTGTAGCAGATGATCACCTACAATAAGTGCATTCAAGAATGACAACCGATTCCGCACACACGCCGCAACAGAATGATTTATTTCCATAAAAAAAATCGCTAACCTTGGCCTGATTCTTCGTTTTTGAAATGTTATCACAACATCACAATCTTATCACAACTCGCTCGTCGTCGTCTTCTCTGGTTTCAGCAAGTTTTGCCGTCTCGAAGCCTGCCTTGCGGAAACAATTAACTACTGTGTTTGTCTTCACGTCTCGCCAGGCTTTGAATACCTCTGAGGGAAAAAACTTAGCGAAGATTTCCGGCCACTCTTTCATCATCCACTGCTGGATGTCCTGGCTGCTGACAGCTTCGCTTTCGCCAGAAATGATTTTGCCAATGATGTTGTAACGCTGCTTAAAGTGAAGCCAGCCGCTATTGTCAGCGAAGTTGTTTCACCGAGTACAGCGGCAAACCATTTGGCCTTGGCAATCAGCATCAGGCCATCCATGGGAACGTTCTTCGCGCGCACTTCTAAAAACCAGGCATAGAGTGTCCTTTTCTACATTGCCGTGGGCAATAGCCCGCACATGACAGGCTCCCGATGTTTGCTGCTCCGCCGGGGTTGCCTTGATATTTGCCTTGTTTTTCAACAAGGTACTCGGAGTGCTCGGTGGCACCCTGAAGTGGCCCGGCCCCCGACGATCGAACATTTCTCGCCCGCCTCAACATGCTCAACAGCTTTCAACTGCGTCGCAAAGTCAAGGGTCTTGCGCTTCTTGACACTGGCCATAGCTACACCAGAATTCGACAGTTCAAGGAGTCCGCAGCAGCTTTGAATACAACGCATGCAAAAGAGAAACACTGCATATGCGGTGGTATGCAACGTTATTATAATCTAGTAACATTGGTAGTACGTAGGCGACGCGATAGCTCCAGAGCAACAAAGCGCTCGCGAGGCAATGGCTACCTGCGCGGGCCACAGCAAGAGGCGCGAGCTGTGGTTGGCTGATAAAACCTTGCAAAACAGCAACAAAAATAAAAGAAAAGGCGAAAGGATGAGGACCTCGGCTCCTTCGTTCCTGCTCTCCGAGCTGACACGTACGTGGAGAAAGCATGAGAGAAAGAAAGAGAAATGGGGGGGAAAACGTTCTGCAAGTTGAAGACCGTGCACTTCGAGCCCTCTAGCCCTAAGCTTTTCCGAGCGTTTTGGGTTTTGGCGGAGGCGTGGTGCCGCGTGGAGGTCGCTGGGCGCTGCTGCGAGTGCCAAAAACGCGCCTTCTAACTCGCATTCAAAGATCGCGAGGTGAGGGGGGGGGAGCAAGGTCACGCAGCGTTCGATATATCCGAAGGCGGGTAAAAATGCCGTTCGATATAAACGTGCAAATTTCTATACTTTTACAAAGGAATTTCAAGGGGATACTTGCGAGTTTGATATACCCAAAAATTCGATATGTGTGGGTTCAATATAACCGCGTTCAACTGTACACGATTATTGTGCAATTCGCAACCACTGCGTCAGGCTGACCTGTGCTGGCATCGGCAGTCCACAGCACCGTGTGACTGCTTCCACCTATTTTTGAGGTGTGCAGTGATGCCCTCGTAAAGACACTGCACCACGAGGCAACACATTGTTTAATGCGTATTCTTAAATTATCAATGATGGATTCTTGCATTAACACTGTAGTTCAGCTGCTACGTTAAAAAACCCCAGGGGGTAGAATTTCCCGAGCCCTGCACTACGGCATCCCTCATAATGGTATTGTGGTTTTGGGACGGTAAACGTCAACTATTCTTGTTATTGAGAAAGGAAGACTGAAAGTTTGAGTCAATACCTTATCATATTTGAAAAAGCCTTGCCTGTAAGAAGTGTCATGGAAGGAATTGTGTGAATGCACAGATCAGAGGTTTCATTTCATGGGCTTGTCGTGACAATCTCATCCCGTTTCCTTCAGCGGCTGCCGCGACTCCCTCCAACCCATTTGCGGCGGCAGCTCCAGTGTGGAACATGGCAGCCCCCGCACAATCCGCCAGCACGTCATCAGCGTTCGCGACACCGAACCCCTTTGAGGCTGTGGCACCCACGGGAGGAGTCTTTGGCGGCCTGGACGGGATGGTCGGTGCTGGCAGTGTGGGCGCAGGCGCCTCAGTGTTTGGTGGTTCTCCCAATGGATATGCATCGGCTGGCACGCCCCCGGTGGTACAGCAGAAAGGCATTGGCTATGTGGGTTGGGGCAACAGTGGACTGGCTGCAGCACCTGCTGGCATTGTGGCACCGGCAGTAGGTCCTCCAGCATGGCCTGCCATGACAAGGCGGCAGGACCCATGGCTGCAGATTGGTCTCAGGTCGGCTCGCCAGCAGCAGCCAACCCTTTTCTGGTGAGAGTCAAGGCTGTATAATGTGCTGTTTTAACTGGCTGAAATTAATTTTAAGACATACTAGAAACAACTATACCGTATTTACTCGATTCTACCGCGCCCTCGATTGTAACGCGCACCCGATTTCCACCGCGAAAAAAAAAAAAAAAAAGTAAGACATTGATTGCAACGCGCACCCATTTTTCTCGCTGGCCCGCACGATCACACCACTCGAAAAAACGACTCCTTTCGGGAGCGTCTTCCATTTAAATATGAGGTACGGGCGAAGCTTGTGCCCATCTGACGTGTAACAGAACATTGCCGTCACTGTAGTTTTACCGTGGACCGATGTCAGCACGCGAACTTGCTTCGCCCCCTTCTCGACGGTTGTGGTGCCAGGCATGTCGAAGTAAAGAGGCGTCTGACCAGCATTCCCGATTTGCCCAAGCAGGTAGCCGTTGTTGCGCCGCAAGTTTAGGACGAACCTCTGAAAACTGTGAAGCTTTTCATCGTACTCCACTGCAAAACTTTTCGCATATGCATGTTCCCCTTCGGAGGGAAAAGCCTTTGCTCTTCATAAAGTTAGTTAGCCAGCACCTGCTCGCTTTAAACTGGCTCCGCATTAGACCTTTTTCCAAGACTAATTGCATAGCCCGCACTTGGAGCAGTTCTTTCGTCACGGGCCGCTGTGCCGCTCGCTGCTCAAGCACATACTCGCCGAGCAGTTCTTTATTTGCGGAAACCGACCTTGCTGTGGTTCACTGAAGCCTTTGCGTGAAGCTTTGCTGTCGACAATCTTCTGCTTTTGTTTCCGCCGGTCCCCCACGCGCGTTTCGGGAACTCCGAACGAACGCGATGCGGCCCGATTTCCGTCCGTTTCTGCACACGCGATGACTTTTCTTTTAAAAGCGGCATCGTGGTGCACTCGAGTTTTTGGAGTCGGCCCTTCCACGTCGTCGATGCTAATGCACTACTAGATGACGAACTCCTCAGCACACGTACGAAGTGCCGCACATGGGAAACACATAGGCAGAAATGGCCGACGCGCCGTGCCGACCTTTTTCCTTTCTCCGTGGTGCCGACGCACGTAGGGGGCGGCCATTTTGGATTTGCCGATGGCAATAGATTGACCGTAATTTTTTTTGTTCGTACTCTATTCTAACGCGCATGCGACTTACGAACTCGCTTAACCGGAAAAAAGGTGCGCGTTAGATTCGAGTAATTACGGTAGTTGAGCTCAACTTCTGAAGGCAGTAGCATGCCCACGTCAAATGCACAAGCCTGCATGAAAGAATGTGCCCCATTCACCAACTTCATGAACTTGGATGAGCTGCAGTTGTGTCATCAGAGAATGTAGCTGTCAACAAAAGGTCCTATGTTAAAAATGATACTAACAGAACATCTTGAACTAATTCTGGACCGAGTTTTTGTAGAGCCTAATGTACTGAACGACCTATAACAGTCTTATGACGTCAGGGAACTACAAACCTGAATGCATTGATATTGAAGATTGCAAAATGCCTTGGTATACTACTATTGTTAACTTTAAAAACAAAAGGTACTTGCCTGCAGCCTAATAGTTCGTCACGTCTGAATCACTCTCTCAAAGTGGGAATTCACAGAGCCTTGAAGGCATAAAACTAGGCTTGTGCACATAGTACATTTTTGGTTTGAAGTGAGCTCAAAGCGATTGGTAATTTGGCTGAATAATTTTGAATCAAATTTCAATAGTGTATATCACATATGAAGATAAATGGGCATATTTGTCACGATCCAACTAACTTGCTTGATACTTTTTTTTTTTTAAATTGATACAAAGCCTGTGCAAATGTCATTCTTTTTGGTTCACTGGGAGTGGAAACAACTTTGTATAACTGCAGGGTTCGACCTTCGGTAGAATGCTTGTTATAACCAGTAAAATAAGTTAAGTTTTAAAATTTACTATAATTGGCTCTTATAAGCCGGCAAAGCAAGCTTTTAAACTTAAAAAATAACGAATCAATGCGACGGTATTATTTTTGAAGTTGGGCTTCGCCGGATTACGTATTTCTCCTGGGTAGATGTTTTCACGGCCTAACACTTCGCGACTGCAGTGAAGTTACTTCTACAGGGATACACGCCGACTAATTCATATATATTTGTTCAGTTATAATACTCTGAAAGTTTCCAATGATTTAAATTCCAATCGAAGCAAATTTGAATAATATAATGTTTGTTTGAATATTCGCACAAGCCGACATAAAACCATATGCTAACTTAATATGCATGTAGATAGACAATTTAGCATACCATGTCATCATCATCATCATCAGCCTGACTACGTCCACTGCAGGACAAAGGCCTCTCCCATGTTCCGCCAGTTAGCCCGGTCCTGTGCTTGCTGCTGCCAATTTATACCCGCAAACTTCTTAATCTCGTCTGCCCACCTAACCTTCTGTCTCCCCCTAACCCGCTTCCCTTCTCTGAGAATCAAGTTTGTTACCCTTAATGACGAGCAGTTATCCTGTCTACGTGCTACATGCCCGGCCCATGTCCATTTCCTCTTCTTTATTTCAACTATGATATCCTTAACCCCCGTTTGTCCCCTAATCCACTCTGCTCTCTTCTTGTCTCTTAAGGTTACACCTATCATTTTTCTTTCCACTGCTCGCTGCGTCGTTCTCAATTTAAGCTGAACCCTCTTTGTAAGTCTCTAGGTTTCTGCTTTGTAGGTAAGTACTGACAAGATACAGCTGTTATATACCTTTCTCTTGAGGGATAGTGGCAATCTACCGGTCATAATTTGAGAGTGCTTGCCAAATGTGCTCCACCCCATTCTTATTCTTCTAGTTACTTCAATCTCGTGGTTCGGCTCCGCGGTTATTACCTGCCCTATAAGTGGCCATACTCTTTTACAACTTCAAGTGCATACCATGTACTCGCCCTCAGAAAGTCTTTGCTATGGCCTTGTCAAAAGCACTTGTGTCTGCTTGTTATTCATATCTCATTCATGCCTTCTTGAGGAACGTGCTTTTTGGATTGCTGGATGTTTCACACTGCTGCAGTAACGTAGTGGAAAGAGAGCCACTGGCAATAATCCTCTTAGAGATGAGGACGAGGGGGGTGGGGCACAGAACTAAAGGCATAGTGCGGTTCTCTTTTTATATGTCTAATGCACCTGTCACACGGTAGTATCAAATGCGCTTTTAGGAAGTGTTCTTCATTGCTAGTATCATTCGCATGCCGTCACGTGAGAACACTTGGTGACACTCGTTACGACGGAATGTCCAGCCTCGGTAGCGGTGGCTCGAGATACTGATATCATTGAATTTTCGCAACTGCACAACTTCGGTATAATGAATTTGAATATAACAAAATATTGATTATAACGAAGCAAATGAATAGTCTTGCAATAAATACGGTGTTAGGAATATACAGATGCAGCTTTGTTATGCAGTCAAACTCCCATTAATACGAAGTTCACGGCAACCACAAAAAAACTTTGAATTAAACGAACATGCAAAATGCATAAAAAACTGTACCTTTAATGCTTCAAACTTGACTGTTCTCTAAGAAAATAGTCTGCCATCTTCTCTTGCTAAACCCGGCTGCGGCTAGCAAGTTTCCTTAGCACTTCACATGTTGAAGTGCTTCGTCAGCATTTTCTTCTTCAATGAAACATAGAAATTGCAGCGCAGGAGCAAGACCCGCAGCAACATCGGCACTTCTCAGTGACGGTTCGTTTCTAGGTTGTCGTCCGCTCGCTGAACCATCTGCACAATTTTTCTGTCCCTCAGTGGACCGCATGTATCGACGTTGCTGACCACGGCAATAAATTTTTCAGAACAGACGTCTCTAAGATCGGCCTCATATCTGTTGTCGTCTAATTCACCTGTTTTCGCTTGATGAAATCCGAGAGCGAATTAGGTTTAAAGCTGTACCTTCGTGCTGTACCTTCATGCGATGTCTTGCTTAACGGTGCCTCCCTGGTCAACTTCTTTCGAAACTTTCGTCGCCAGGCCAGGCGTTCGGTACGGGCCGCGAGTTACCATCATCTAATATTGCCACCGCAATACTCAAAATAAGTTGTGGAAACATGTGCGAAATCAACCCGCTGTGCAGTAGCGGGCTAGTTGGTTTATCATAATTTGTTTGAACAGCACAACTGGGCGCCTACGTAGTGGAACATGCTAACACACACACAGTGCTGTGTGTGTGTTTGAACGTTTTCTGCCAGCGTTCAGTCGCGCTGTTCTACCTTTAACCAGACTTTAACCCAGCACGGGGCTGAAGCACTCGTCACATTGCAACAAAAGACCTAGTTGGCCGATGTGATCAATGCCATGGCCTGGCATTGACTTGACAAGATGGCTGCTTCATGAACCATGGTGCTGTAGGCAGTGGCGACAGTCACAACAGCGCGGTCCGACAGCTGTCGCGGCAGTCTTGGTACATGAAAAATTGCCAATTTTATTGAAAAAGTACAGTCGCTTCGAGGCTCGTCAATGAAAAACTTCTAATTAACCAAGATTATTGGCATTTAACTTTTAGTTATCGAGCTTTTTTTCTATAGGCGTGCATGCAAAATTGATGGGACCACCTGTTGACTTCTAATTAACCAAAATTTCCAATCGAAGGGGCCCTCCGACATCTTTGGGACAGCCTTATTTAGCACGGTAATGCACGTAGCAATAGTTACTGAGACGAATGCAACAAGAATTATGGAAATTGATGCAAGGAAAGTGAAGGTATAAGTCCTTAAAATTCAGTCGAACAGACAATGACGAGAAATGTTCTCTTTCGCATTTTACTAGTCTGCTGACTTCAAAAAGACCACTGCCAATCACAGCACGCGTCTCATAAAGACGTATTGCGAATGTCACCTCATGGTGGCTTTCACACAATAACTCGCTACTGCTTTGTTTGACAGCGTTGTTAGCATGCTTACTATGAACCACGTGCGTCGGGTAGCAGACGCTCCCACGGTCACACTGTTTTAAGATGTACACATTTGCTTTGGCCGGAATCACTTCTCGGCTTGCTTGCAAGACGCGTTTTAAGGCAACACTGGCGCCCACCGCCTGTGGCATTTTTGACTCTCTAAATACACAACATGCGTTTCCACCTTCAGTTGCTGGCGTATCAGGTAAGCCTCGTTCGCAGGCTAAGTGTTGTGTTCGTTCTGAAAATATGTCATGTATAAACAGGAATGATTTCTTTCTGACAAAGTTTTAAAAAAAGCGTGTTTGCTGTTTTTAGCATTCACTCATATGGCTTAGCTACCACCATATAAATATTGCATGCTATTTGTCGCATCAAGCCTATCGAAAGCAAACGGTCTTTGTCGTCACCTCACATGATGTGACGTCACTTCCTATAACAAAAACAGCTGATTTTCGTCACTGTAGTCTGAAATCAAAGTAGTTTGTCCTATGAGTTAAAATTCAAACAGCATTGATTTTCGCATTGGCAGTTGCGCAACAATATCGGCGAGTCCTACGGCACCAGAAGAACCGATGAAAAATGCATGCTCAAATACTGTCGCAGAGCCCCTCTAAGTGACTTCGAATTATCGGTAGTCGACTGTAAGTTTTGGTGTATTGTTTCCATTATTAGAAACATTCTTTTGCATTAAAACATCAGATACCACACACACACAAACACACGCACGCAAGAAGCCACAATTGCCAGAGACTTCCTCAGCACTTGGCGTGCGATGTCCACAGCCACAATGTTTGCATGTAAAGTTCATTTTAAGGGCTGCTGATAGCTGTCACACATTTTTGCTCAAGAAGCATGCCCTGAAGTAACAACTATCTGTTGTACTAGGTAAGTCCCTATTGCCATTACGATATTTTCCAAAGTAAGCTTGCCTTTCTCTTGTAGCAACGTGCTGCCATTCTGGGTGCGCAAATGCACTATCTCAAAACGACGCTGAATTCTCCAGTGTGACTGGTGTATAAAAATATCATGAACCACCCCTCAGGCTTTGGGAGGAAGCACCCCCTGCAGATAGTGGACTCTGCTATGAACATCTCTGCCAAATCTTGCAGTCCTGTGTGGCAAGAACCCACCACGGTGGCCTAGTGGCTAAGGCACTCTGCTGCTGACCCGCAGGTCGTGACATCGAATTCATGTCACGGCGGCGGCATTCTTGACGAAGGCAAAAATGCTTGAGGCCCCGTGTGCTTAGATTTAGGTGCTTGCCAAGTAGTTGAAATTTTCGGAGCCCTCCACTACGTCGCCTCTCATAATCCTATGGTGGTTTTGGGATGGTAAACCCCAACAATTAATTATCAATGTGTGGCAAGAAGAGTTTTAAAGTGGAGTGCGAAGTTGTCTTTTTTTTTTCTGGTGCCATCCTCTAGCACAAAGGCCCGTGCTCACTTTTTTCATAGCTGCTGATGCTCGCTGTTTGAAGTCGAACAGCAGATACAGTAGCATGCTATTGGTCAATAGCCGATATAAATCAAGAGCAGCATTTGGATCAGGTGCATTGCTTGCCAGTGAGTGATTGCGTTCCATGGGAGTGAGTGATTGCTTTCCATCACGCGCACTTAGTCCTGACGTAATTTTTTTTCCCCGTTCCGGCCCTTCCAGCGTATTCAGAGGAAGTACCTAAAGGTCGTGGCAGATCCTTCCAACTCTATTAGTTCATGATGGATTTGACTAATATTTTGTGACAATCGATTCGTGAAGCAATAAACTCTGGCACTGTTGTTATTGATAATTACGTGCAAACGTGCTTCAAGAACCTTTTAGTGTTTGAGTTTGACATTGGGGCATTTTCCCTTACATTGACGTCACACATTTAATTTTATTTTTTTTCAGAGCGGTCCAATGCCGAGAGCCAACTCCAGCAACCCGTTCCTCTGATAGCAAGCCTCGTAAGCGCAACAACTGGAGGCACCCATCTACGAGTGGGATAACGACCAGGAACAACGTGCTAGTAGGAAAAAAAGGGGGGGGGGGGGGGGGAAGCGGCGCCGTTTTTTTTTTTAGTGCCCCATTTTGCCTAGGTTGCACGTGTAGCTGTGTATCTTTTTGCTGGACAAAGTGGACACGTTTTCATTAGCAAGTAACAGTTCGCCTTCTCCAGCTGCTGTATGCTTTTTTGTTCTTATTTTTTGAATTTTTTTAACTAAGTGCCACACAGCAACTTCTTCTAGTCTCTTAATTTTTTTTTGCCACTGAGAGGGAGGAGCACAGTCAGTGAGCGAAAGTTGGTAGTAAAAGGGAAGTAAAGAGAAAACGTCCAGGGCGTTCTTCATTTGCTTCCCTTTCTCTTGTGGGCATCGAACATTGGTGAGAAGCATTAGTTCTGTCTAACCCTATTTTGGTTTTCGCTGCTTTAATTTTGTGTTGTGTGTGTTTGTGTTTTGTCCGTTGCTCGTCTCACTCCCTCTCATTTCCTGGAACTTTATGTTGAAAGCCTTCTTTTTCTCTTTTGTGCACAGTAGATTTTTTTTTAACTAGGGGAAAAGAAGGGTAGATGAATCGGTGAGTAAGTTGAGCTGGTTGTGAATGGTAGCATTTTTTTTTTTGTCGTTCTCTTGTTTCTTTCTCGAAGCTTGTCCTTGTTCACAACCGTGCATAACCTCTAGAAGGCATAACATTACATGAGGTGAAATGGTTTCTCGACTATGCTTCCTGTGTGAGCCATACTATTTGCCAGATATAAAAAAAATTTGAGATAATCGAAAGAAATATTTGTGGGGCAAAATTTTAGGAACTTCAATATAGACGCTGAAGTCTTTTTCAGTTTTCGTACCATGTGTGATATTTCATACTGTATGCGGCATGTGTTGCTGTGAACAGCAAGCCGAGCCAAAGGGTCGTTGAGGAGTTTGCACATACAGAGATTAATGAACATGGAAGTGCAAAGTTTTGAGGGCATTCTCTGGCCCTAGCTTTGCTCTCCGTCAAGTGGGGGCATTACGCCGCGCACTTTGGACGTTCGGACACCTAGAGAGATGCAAATGGAATCCAGTGAACACCAGCTGTAGTAGCAGATGCCGGGCATGTAGCGCGTAGACAGGATAACCGCTGGTCATTATGGGTAACTAACTGGATTCCCAGAGAAGGGAAGTGGGTTAGGGGGAGACGGAAGGTTAGGTGGGCAGATGAGATTAAGAAGTTTGCGGGTATGAATTGGCAGCAGCAAGCACAGGACCGGGTTAACTGGCGGAACATGGAAGAGGCCTTTGTCCTGCAGTGGACATAGTCAGGCTGATGATGATGATGATAAGACTCTATTCCAACTCGATTTGTTCATGATGTATTTGACAAATATTTTGTGACAATTGATTTGGGAAGCAATAAACTGCGGCACTGTGGTTATTCGATAATTACGTGCTAACATGCTTCAAGAACCTTTTAGTGTTTGAGTTTGACATTGGGGCATTTTCCCTTACATTGACGTCACATTTTTTTTTTTTTTTTCAGAGCGGTCCAATTCCAAGAGCCAACTCCAGCAACCCGTTCCTCTGATAGCAAGCCTCGTAAACACAACTACTGGAGGCACCCACCTACGAGTGGGATAACGACCAGGAACGTGCTAGTATGAAAAAAAAAAGGGGGGGGGGGGAAAGCGGCACCATTTTTCTTTTCTAGTGCCCCATTTTGCCTAGGTTGCACGTGTAGCTGTGTATCTTTTTGCTGGACAAAGTGGACACGTTTTCATTAGCGAGTAACAGTTTGCCTTCTCCAGCTGCTGTATGCTTTTTTGTTCTTATTTTTTGAATTTTTTTAACTAAGTGCCACACAGCAACTTCTTCTAGTCTCTTAATTTTTTTTTGCCACTGAGAGGGAGGAGCACAGTCAGTGAGCGAAAGCTGGTAGTAAAAGGGAAGTAAATAGAAAACGTCCAGGGCGTCCTTCGTTTGCTTCCCTTTCTCTTGTGGGCATCGAACATTGGTGAGAAGCATTAGTTCTGTCTAACCCTATTTTGGTTTTCGTTGCTTTAATTTTGTGTTGTGTGTGTTTGTGTTTTGTCTGTTGCACGTCTCACTCCCTCTCATTTCCTGGAACTTTATGTTGAAAGCCTTCTTTTTCTCTTTTGTGCACAGTAGATTTTTTTTTAAGTAGGGGAAAAAAAGGGTAGATGAATTGGTGAGTAAGTTGAGCTGGTTGTGAATGGTAGCATTTCTTTTTTTTTTTTTGTCGTTCTCTTGTTTCTTTCTCAAAGCTTGTCCTTGTTCACAACCGTGCATAACCTCTAGAAGGCATAACATTACATGAGGCGAAATGGTTTCTCGACTATGCTTCCTGTGCGAGCCATACTATTTGCCAGACAAAAAAATTTTGAGATAATCGAAAGAAATATTTGTGGGGCAAAATTTTAGGAACTTCAATATAGACACTGAAGTCTTCAGTTTTCATACCATGTGTGATATTTCATACTGTATGCGGCATGTGTTGCTGTGAACAGCAAGCCGAGCCAAAGGGTCGTTGAGGAGTTTGCACATACAGAGATTAAGGAACATGGAAGTGCAAAGTTTTGAGGGCATTCTCTGGCCCTAGCTTTGCTCTCCGTCAAGTGGGGGCATTACGCCGCGCACTTTGGACGTTCGGACACCTAGAGAGATGCAAATGGAATCCAGTGAACACCAGCTGTAGTAGCAGATGCCAGGCATGTTAAAAGCTGCTCAGAGCATCCAATTCTTCATGTACATATTGGAGATCTGTTTTAAAAGATTCTGTATCATATCTGTTAAAGTATGGGAATCATGAGAATGCTTTATTGCAATTTTTTGTCTGCAATAAATAGCATAGCATGCTTTCATAGAAGTTGTCTCATGCTTCTTTTCTTACTTGCGGACCTTTTGTGTCACGGCTGATGACACCGAGCATAGCAAAACTTGCAAGAGCTGTAGCCTGAAGCTGTTACTTTCATACATATTGTGTTAATGGACAAATGGGCAAGCATTCGTCTTTATAACTTCCTTTCCATGATAGATTGTCTGATGCTACCTTACACCTGCCAAACAAATTATTCTTTGTGCTTTCATGTTGTGTTCATAAATAGCATTATCACTAAGCAAGTTTAAAAAAATGAAAATAAGACGGGTCTCGTGAAGAATAACTAAAAAAAAAAAACGAAAAAATATTCTGCTTGGCATCAGACAAATCTTGAGAAGCAACAACTGTAGCTTAAATGCCTATGCTTATGTTGTGTCCATATCGTGGCTAGCATACAAGCTGCTGGAGTAACAGACATTTCACTGGCACTATTATTGTGCTTGCAAATATCTGCATATTTCAATGTTGATGCCCTATAATTTTCAACATAAATCCTTTTTCATGTTTTTTTTTTTTCGGTTAGCCTCATTTTGTAGACTACTCTGCAGGTTTGCTGAAGGCAGCCTATTATAGCCAAAGGCACATTGCTCATGTTGCACCACTATATTAACAGCTTTGTAGCGGGCTGCAAGAACAACTTAAATCTGCTCTACATGGTGCACATAAAGTTGACTTGGCACACTTTAGCGCTCGCTCTTAGTCTTCAGCGAACTACAAGAAACTGGAATTCTTCAGAACTGTGACTGGAAATGTGGATCTCGACGTGGATGTTCAGTAAAGGTTTGCTTGCATGTTCGATAGACCGGTTGCTAAGAAAATCGAACTGTGTTCTTGGTACAACCCCTGGTGTCTATCTAGTATGAAGTGAATTGTGAAAGGTTTGACTAGTGAAAATTCTGCTATTCCAGAGGGCACTAGACTTGCAAAATGTAACTATAACAATTCTAGTGAAGAGGAAAAAGTAGATACGCACGGGTGTCCATTGCTGTGCACAAGATGTGCATTCCTGCCGGATTGGCACTATAACTACCAAGTCGTCGCTGCTTTCATTATAAATGGTCATACAAAATTATATGGAGGTTGCTGCATCCCCAACCTCACCCTGGAATAACTATACTGTGGTAATGTTAAACACTCACTTTCTGTATACCAAAACTCTGTGGAAGAAAGCCACGATGCAGCACTCTGAAATGAAATAGTGCTTCTCTTCTGCTGCTGTCACTGGTTTTCCTGTATTGAGTAGCACTAAATTTTGGAAAACATGAATCAATAGAACATGCCTCTTACTAAAGCAGGAATTCAGTTAGCCACATTCCTTAGAAAATTGCAGCTTATCACGAAGTGGAGAGAATTTTTTCATGCACACAGTGTTGGAACTGAACTGCTGCAACTTAGGCTCTGGAGATGTAATCTTGTTTCCTCCTTATACAAAAGCCTTGCTTAGGCTGAATACTCTACGCCTGCTTCAAAGACTTCTGGCGGCAGGGATTGTGAAAAAAAAGCCAGCACTCGCACTTTTGCTTCCTGCCAGCCTGTGAAACTTGTAGCTGTAGATTTAGTTGCGACATCAACAAAGTGGAGCGAGTTATTGCTGCTACCTTCACAGGAGTGGAAACTGCATCAAGCAGATTGTCACTTTTTTATTTTGTACTGATGGTAAAATAAATAATATTACTAGTGCAGCGGCAGTCCATCAAGTTCACAAGTGCTCAAAACAAACTCCATCCACAGAATCGTGGGTCACCTGTCTGTCATTTGCGAAAGGCAGTTGTTCTAGCTGGTTCCCACTTGAGCCGTAACTTTTTCTCTGCTAAAAGAAACACAGTAAAAGCTTGTTCATCTGAACATATGCTCTGGTCCCAGCTTGGTCCTTTGCATATTAATGGGGAAAAACTTGCAATAATTCGAACGTGTTTCTATCTACAACGGTTAATTTGAACTGGGAGGGGTCCTTGTTGCTCCTCGCAGAAGTTCGCCCAAAGTGATCGCAATGTGTTGCAAAACCAAACCAAGTTTACTAGAGATGCAATACAACAGAAAACAGAGGAATTTCTGAGCATATGAGATTTCGAATGCTGCACTGGACCTTCTCTTGGGCAAGCTGCAAACATTGTTCATGGATTTACAACAGAAGAAGCTATAGCGAATTACCAGTGAATTACTGATTACTTTTGATGTTGAGTTAACTCTACCATGTAAATAAACATGTTTTAGAGCATAAATAGCATTCTATTCCACATTAAGGCTCACTTGATTGCATGTCTACATTTGTTTCTGGCATATCGCTGACTGGTCAATTATGTTTGCTGTTTGCCCCATGAACTAAACGAAATGACCTGCCACAAATGTGTGGTAGCTCCTAGTTTGTGGTAACGAGTCCAGAGGTGGCTTCTTCTGGTTTGCCCGCACAGTGTGCTGGAACATTCCGTTTGTTCTAGCATCTGGCTCCACTTAATTCTAACAGTTTTATATTCCACTTAGGGTTCCAATTATCAAGCCGTTACTCTACTATGGATATTGAGAGTATGAGGTTTGTCAATACCTAAAAACATTATGTTCAGTGAAGCAGCGACGTTGAAGCCCCTGAGGAAATTTACCAAGTTCAGGTTTCCTACCTAAAATCAGCGTCACAAAGGCGTGTGTATGAGAAAGTCGACTAACACACAAGTGCTTGTAATCACAAATCGAGTAAGTGCTAGTGGATGGAGCATTTCTGCAAATGCTCTGTAGGAAAAACAGTGAAGGCTATGAGCGAAGCTAACTTTTTGCGGGCATCATGCAATTTCAATATGCCTAAAACAAATAAAAGGAAGAGAGTGAGGGATGCAATGAAAGACCGCAATGAAAACCGTAATGGCAATATCAACCAAAATGCTTTGGAACAATAAATTTTATTTACAGAAGTTACATAGGCTAGTGTACAGTACGGTATACTTACACAACAACCGGCTCAACAGGCAGGTACTCTCTCTTGGATATGAAAATTTTTTGGCTGGAGAGGGTCACAACATAGTAGTACTTCCCGAGATAAACTGAAACAGAAAATGTAGAGTATATCGTCAGTGTAATAAAAAATGTTCAGAATAGTTTTATGGGCACGAAGACTACATGAAAGAATATAAAGCATGACTGCTCATTGGAACAGCTTATGAAGTGAAACAGGCTCTTTTCCATGTTTTTCTGGAGTACTGCAAAGCACTGTCTTAATGAAGAATCCATACTGACTGCACTGTTGAATTCTCAAAGCACATTCCTGCACAATTCATTTCTCAGCTTTGAAGATGAAGGTGCTTCATGGCAGCTTGTGTTTCTTGCATTTTTTGAACGCTATATTTGCAAAAATAAGACCATGATCAGTTTGCTGCATGGCCCATTTTATTTTTCATGCTCCTCATGATGATAAGAAAAGGTTCAAATTCGAACAAAAACTTAAGTAGCTACGGAGGCTTTTTGGGGTTCCAGATCTTCATTATATGCGAGAGAATAGGGTACAATGTATGTATAATGAAATAACTGCTTAGGTGTAGCCATACCAACAATAATCTACTACAGCACTGAGGCACTTAAGAGAGAAAAGTGTCGCCCTGGGAATCATGGTCTACAAAAGTTGGCTTGAAACGTACGCCACTGGCGGCACATTTAATTTGGCAGAAACATTCGACCGTATGAAAAACACGTTTTGAAACGTGAATGCATATCTACGATATCTACGGACAAGGCAGTGTGGCGTAGCTAATTGCCCAGTGAACACAACTTTCAAAAAATCTCGGACTACAGTTGAGAAATCAGTCTTGTTTTTCAAATCTGAAACACGTGATAGTGAACACGGTCACGTATCGCGCACATAGGGAGTAACCTCTGTCAAGTGTCATCTTAAATGCCACAAGAATAGAAACGCTAACATAGGTCCCGCTTTTGTCATAGAATAAGTGCTAATATATTTCATCGCACGAGCGAAGTGACAGCACTGTTAAGACCAACTACCACAGGTTCCATCAACTCTAGGACACTGTATTTTAGGTTTCTCAAAACATAAGTAAAAGCACTAAAGCTACTTACTTGACATGCGGTTGATTGTATCACTGTTGTCTGTAGGCAGTAGATCACGCCTGTCTGCACTGTAAACCATCTTGCGGATGATCTCACCAATGCGCTCTTCATTTTCAAGCTCGCCTCCCGACTGCAGGCAAGTAAGCAGAACGTAAACAAATGAACGTTTAAGATACATGCCACAAAGCGGTTAAGATTTGAGAGCGTGACAATTACAACTGACAACTCTTTCACGCTACAATGATCCATTTATTGAAAACGAAGTACCTAAACGTTGATATGTGAGGTTTAACGTCCCAAAGTAACCATATGATTAAGTACCTAACACGTTAACAAAACCCAATTCGTAGATTTCAAAACAACGCTGAGGAATGAAGAGGGGCGTTTAAGTGATGCGGACTACTCACGCTCATAACACCGCCATCAGCATTGAGCACCAGATATCCTACTTGGTCCGGGATCTTTTCCATCCACGAGAGCATCATTTCAACTCTTCGCTGAGACTATTCACAAACAATTAGGCTTATATAAACTACAAGGCAATCTTCGTAAGACAACCACTTGACGTAGCTTTGAAACGCGCACAGAGCCCGTCACAACCAAAACCCCGGAACTTGAATGACAGGAAGTACTCTTTCTCTCTCCTTTCATTCAATCTTGTCTCTCTCGTTTATGAACAATCGTGCGGGCAATAGCAGACGAGTGGGAGATAAGATAAAACCATCGCAGCTGTTTGAAGTTGGGCGACGATAAATGAATCTGATGTCTTATAATGCAACAGGAGGATTGAAAATTAAGGTCGTTAGAAGTCGCGTCGTTAGTTTGCCACGCTGGTGGCTTCCGGTTCCGCTGTTCATGGAGGTGTGCTCCGCTGTTTGGCTACAGTTTGGCATCCTTGCCGTATTTGCTATGCGGTGCAGGTCACAATTGGGAATGTGTTCAAGAGCATTTGCCGTTAACATTTGTACTCATCAGTCGCCAGGACGCACAGCATAGAAGCGGGAATCAACGTATGTTTCAAACTACGCTTTGCTGTCCCGCGCTGTGTGGTTTAATGGCGAAGTAAACTTTCGCGCTACGGGGAAGTTGCCGTTGGCCGTGTATACGCCCGCTGTTTACACTTCCCTTTGGTGTACGGAGATGTGTAACTGGTGCACCGTAAACGGACCACGATGGAATTGACCGACTACGCTTTCGACACACGAATACGCAGGCGTCACATTCCGTTGCTCAGCAATCAGGTAATGGTTTCGTTCACGTGTTTTCGTGTTTCGTTTCGCTCCGTAGGCTACAGTTCCACCGGCTGTTGTCATCTAGCAGCTGCCCACTTGCGTCGCCGTAGAGATCGCTAAGCACTTGTTCTTGGGAAGCAATTCTACCTTTTTTTTTTTTTCAGAGGCGACTCAGACATTTGACAGCAATACATGCCCGGAACGTCGTGTCAACCGAAATATCAGAGTCTGAGTATTTTGGCCTTTTCTACACGATTCACCTAAATCGCGATGATCCCGGTGAGTTACACAGCCTGCTCACTAAGGTGTCTGGTGCTAATTTCTAAAAGTACTGAGAGACGTGCGACGTTTTTCTGTTGAAATAAAGTTTCGTTATGTTGATTTTCAGCCATTTACACCAGTGAAGTGTGCGAGAATAATTTGGTAAGTGGGATTTCGTATGTCCACTGATGTTTCAACTTACAGGAAACACTGAAATATTGAATATTTACATTGCATGAGACACTGCGCTTCTTTCCATATTTTTTCTACAGAATCCGATGTGGCAGCAACTACAGATGGCGAAGTTCAACAACCTGCGGAATAATTCTTCCAAATGTATCCTTTTTTACTGATCACTCCGCACTTTGGGTGTTTTATTTTTTATTTTTGTGTATAAAATGAGCACCAAAGGGAATATCGTCTTACTTATTGCAAGATGGCTTGAGTAACTCTTTAAGGTTGTGTGAATATTCACAGCTATTGACAGTAAACTTTCATTTGTTGGGACCTGTGTCACTTCTGTAAAGTTCTGCTGATGGAAATTTAAGTTTTCCTTCAGACCTAGAGTTCATTTAGTTACGTTGGCGCAGGAAAAGCAAAGTGAGTATTGCTGCTAACAGCATTCTTTTTTGTCAAATTATGAAGCTGAAGTGCATGCATATGAGAGAAGCCTGTGAGATAGGCTTGGCCTCATTCATTCAAAGTATTCTACTCATATCAACCTCTAGCTAAAAGTTCTAAGTTCTCTCAAACTTGCCGGGCTTGGATCTTGTTTTTCAATGGCTTGCAGCATGTGTTTTTATGAACACACAAACAAACTTATCAATCAAAAACATGGACAGGTAATCGATTACATACTCTTAATTGAAGAAAGAAATTTCCCATTGACATCTGCAGCTTCTTTCACCCCAACCAGAGGAGTACCTTGCAACTATAAGTACTACATTCAGAAAGGTAACTGTACCAAGAGATGGCAATATATGTAGTGTTAATGATTTTTATGCTCATTGGCCATCATCTTTCAAAGCACCACTTGAAATTTTGGCAGTGCTCAAAGTTGTGACTGCAGTTTCTCAGCGACATGGTCCTGACAAGGAGCTCCAACTGCTCACGTGAATTCCTTAGATAGCGAGAGAAGATAGAGCTGCGTCCATATCTTAGTCACCAGCACTGCGTAGATATGAACAACAAAATTTCCACCAGAGTGTAGTAAATGCTGCCTTCTATGTAGTTGAGAGAGCAGCATGTTTTTTTTTTTTTCGTAAGTCTTTGGATTTTCTTGTCAGAATAGCAACATAGCGTGCACTTTCTATTTGACAGCACTACACAGGATTCTTTTTAGTACATTTCCAGAAACATGCTACCATAGCATAGAAACTGGAAAATTGCTTTAACTAGGAAAGCACCATACCAACTCAGTTTTACTGTACGTGCTATCTTTCCAGAGTAAAACCATTTTTTGGCCTTTATTTGTTCTATTTTATATGTCGTGTCTTTTTCATTCTTTGCCCCATGTAGTATATCTCGCTCATCATTGTGCATTTCACAATAACTAATGTAATGCATTGTTCTGGCCGGATTTTCGATGGAGGGAAAATTTTTGACGTCTGTGTTCTTAGATTTAGGAGCACATTAAAGGACCCCAGGTGGTCGAAATTTCAGGAGCACTACACTACGGCGTCTCTCATAATCATATGGTGGTTTTGGTGCGTTGTACCCCAAGAATTATTATGAACTTTCATAGCCTTCTGTGCAATTTCACTATTCCTTGTATGCGCTGAGATAGCATTTTTGTTTTCCTTGACTGGTTGGAACACAATGCAGCTCTAGTGGTGCGAGTCTGGCTAACCAAGAAAAATGACTCTTGTGCCACTTGTCTGATAGAATGGGATGTCAATCTTCATGGGCTCTACTTTCTTGGTGAACAGGTAGTCATTGAGTTTTTTTTTATATATTAGTAAACTGTTTAGCATCAATGAAAATTGCTTATCTCTGTCACTATGAAACTTGGAATTGCAAAAGGCCCCCTGACATAACCCGCAGTTGAATCAGGGGTCAGTTTGAGATTTAAGCTTAACAAGGGAAGCTGTGGCAACTATGTAAACATGCAATGTATGCAAGCACGTTGGATGGCTTGACAATGCCCATCACAGTCTCTGTCAGTGTCGGAAAGTGGTGTTTCATGCCACATATAAGGCCACTGACAACAGGCCATCTTTTATAAAGATGGCTAAAGCCATGAGAAGAGCTCAACGTGCACCAGCACCTTCCTGTTGGTTTCTAAAGCATTTATTTGGTATTTGTATAGCATTGGCCTTCACCATTGATGCACTAGCTCATGCACCTCAATTGTGAAGCAGTTACAACCAAAAAAAATGATAAAACAACTGTATTGTATCAATTCATCTGTGCAAATGTTACATTGTTGTAGCTCATTCCGACATTTGCATTTCACCTGAATGACCGTTCAATTCCTAATTTCTAGTGCAACTTTCATTTAGTTCACTCAAATCTTTTTTTCTCATTTTCTTTGTGAGAAGCGGAAACTGATAGTCCACAGTGAACATGTATGTAATCATATTCTACATGTATGTGATCATATTCTACATGTATGTGATCATATTCTTTAATTGGACAGTTATTTCTCTTTACATAGTCTTAATGCAATTTTTTTTACTTTTTGAAAGGTGCCCAAGGATGGAAGGAAGTTTCTCCCAAATACGCTTCTTTTTGCCATGCCAGAAGGCATTTATGGAGCTGCAAACACCATTGTGCAGGTGAGGGGTTCCGCAGGAATCATAATTTGGGGTTTGTGTAAATGTCAGGGGTGCAAAGAAAGGAAAGAAGCAATTGTTATTTTGAAGTTTCTTTTATTTGTGTTCAATGTGGTTGCATAGCACTAGCTACACCTATTGACTTCAATACTCACGGAAAAAATCACGAGTTATTGGTTCATTTCATACAAGAAATAGTCATATTTACTAATACACAGGATTGAAAAGCATGAGATTACATATACATATGGTGAAACTTCACTTGAGCGAACTTGAGGGTACCTCAGAAAAATTATTCCTAAAGGGAAGGTTCGCTGAAATGAAAGCAGCTATGTTGTAGCTTGTTATCACTAGCTGAAGGAAATGGCAAGTGTTCAAATAAAGTTTCAACTCCTTTGTTTTCATGCTGCTCCTTTGCATCTTAATTTATGTCTATATCGGATCTTGCAAAGGATGCAGTAATCTTTCGCTACGCTTGTGCTCTTAAAGGGGCCTCTCCAACACTTTTGAAACGCCTATTTTTTGTATGTGTTTTGCGTAGACCGATGGCCAGGGATAATTTTAGCATAGGTCTAAGCACCGATATCGAATCATTTAGTATTTTAACCGTGCAATAAAGTCACTGCATTGCTGCCGACCCTTCAGCGCACAGTGGCGCTCGTTAGAACAACGCGGGCGGAAATGACGATGATGAGCGCAGCCTATCCCAGGATGCGTAAAGCTTCGCTCCAAAGCAAAAGTACCTGCTTGAGTTCTGACAAGTCGGGGAGGCTCATTTCTACCAGCCTCACACAGCTGTTCGACCGCGTAAACAAAACGGCGTTGTCAGGCACCACATTGCCCATTGCTACAGCAACAGCGTCGTAAGCACATTTGACTGAACAGTCAACAATGGTGTACGAGCTTCCTCTAAGTAAGAGCTTTCAGCCCATGTCATTGGAGGCCCCCTGCAACGTCACAGCAGAGAATGAAATGTGGTCTTGTCACCCCGCGAAATTAGAGTTGAGGGTAGGCATTTTTTTCTTGTATTTTGAATTTTTTAAATTGAATAACTGTGTGTCGCTATCAATGCCGTTCTTGCTGCACTAATTTGTCCATGCATCAGTCTATGCAACGCACAAGCAAAAAAATGGGGGGTTGAAAAGTGTTAGAGGGCCCCTTTAAGACTGCAGTGGTCACAGGTATATTATGTTACTATGTCTAAGTTATCATAAACCTTCTGAGGCACTATACTTTGCTGGCCAGAAAATTACTTCAGTTCTCCAAATGCGTTGGCACTTCCATGCAAAACACAGTTTTTCGTCCAGAAGCATGCGCTTCCCTTTGGTACTCATGATAACCTCCATGCAGTTGTAAGGCTAATGCTGCAGCTGTTGTGGCAGCTATAAACTCCATCTGGTGTCAAAAATATCTACGCAGCCAATTAAGTGCAAGGCTGATTGGGGCTCTCTTTGGTCTTACTGTAACGAAGTGTCATTGTCAGTATAAAATCATGGCTTTTGCAATTAAGTCTAGTGACACACTGTTTGCATAGGGGACTGTGAAGCCCACGGTGAAAATGTGCTTTAATAAGAGCAGTTGTACTCATTGAAGTGATCAACATTACCTTGTATGCTGTGGATGGTGTCATATATATGTTCGCAGAAATGAAATGCATGAAGCACTGTATGTTGTTTAAAGGGCCATTCACCAGGTTTGACAATCTTGAGCTGACAAGCGCAATGCATAGACGAGGCGTTCATGATCACGTCTGCCGAAATTTGCAAGGCTACGCACCGCGAAAATGGGTCAAATTTCAAGATGAACGCTGCTCCCCCTCTCTTCTGCCGATGCACGCCCAGAGAATGAGGGCATGACCTGTACGTATGAATGGCCCTACGTACACAGCAATGCGGTGACGTTGGTCCTCTTCATAGACGACTCTGCTCTGATGTTGCGAACAGTGGCACGTGACATGGCGAAAATCATTTAACACAGCGTGCATAGTTTATGTAATTTGTTGCTTGAAAAGATTAATAAAACTCTAGATAAATAATGAGACACAATAAGAGAATGTGAGCGTCCTTCTTCCATTTTTCTCCCGTGAATTGCAATGAGATGCGGGGCTTATGTGTCGGCATTTCGCATGCGTTCGTGTCCCCGTGGTCAGCGCATCGAGCAGACGACCGCCGTGGAACGTTCCTACGCGTTCGCGCACTCATTGTGCTCATCTATTCTACCGCGTCTAAGCCAGCATTTCCAAACCATCCCACAGAAACTGTCAGAAGACCACAAAAGAACGCTGGTCAACAAAGCAGCGCCGCTGGCGTGCTCGGGGGTTGGGCTTGTTTGGGCACGTCATGCCTACGTAACCTCTTGGTCAGGTGGCGGAGAGGGTGGGGAATAGATTTGGATTGCGAAGGCTATGTGGAGGAGCGACAAGGGTTTTGAGCTCGCCTCCTCTCATCCTCGTTTCACGCCGCTTCAAAAAACCTGTTTTCTTCGCTCGTGATGAACCGATTCAAAACTTTTTTGTGGCAAAATGTTCCTTATCGGACACCCAACAACTTCCACTGTCTAATCAAAATTTAATATGGGGCCTGGTGAGTGGCCCTTTAAGGTGAAGTGGGTTAGCATTGGGGTCAATGGCACTGTCGCAGGGGATTTTAAAAAGGTTAGTGTCTTACAACAGTTTCTTTTAGTGACATTCATTTATTGTATTGTGTTAGAACTTATTTGCATTTCCCGCATGCAGTCAAATATGTCAGTCAAATATGTGCAGACAATGGTGCCACACAAATATTCTTGTTATAAATGTATTTAAAAAATTTCCCATTGCAAAATGAAGTAACAGTTTTCCTGCAAAGGCCAAGCAGTGAATGCGATAGCGAGAAATCGTAATTTCATACAAAAAACCAAAAGCAGCTTGATACTTGCAGCATGCCACTAAAGCACAAAAAGGGATACTCCACAAGACTGCGCAAGTATGCACAGAACAAGCGTGAACTAACAACTGTGACAGTTGTTACTCTGTGTTTGAGCAACGTGCTGCAGGTGTCAGGAGTGCAGAACACTACGCTTTCAGATATTTTTTTCTTTACACTGCAACCCATGGAGAGACCCCTCTGTGTCTCGTGCCATGCTGTGGCATCAAACCCAAAGTGTTTGCAGCAGGTTTTCTCTTTTTTTTTCATTACACGTTTGGAGGGGGGGCAAAAGAAGGCCACCATTTTATGTGCGTCTCGAGAGCAATTTTCAAATTTAAAGAAAATGAAGAAGTGTTGCATGATATAACACGCACTCAAACTCTTCCAAAATCTATGTACCACCAGCAGTGAATCGTGTATATAAAGCGCTCGCCGTTATTGTACTGGGACATGGATGGCACATGGTTGATCTTTCTAACGCAGCATGCTACAGAGCATGGGGTCACTGGTGCGAATCCCAGGTTGTGTGCTTCAGATTTTAATTTTTTCTTTCCTGTTATATATGTACACACACAAAAACACACACACGCACACACAAACATATTTTTGGACATGATGACGACTGCAAAAATCTACCAAGAGTGCCCGCATAATTGAAAACGAAACTATCACAAATTAAGGGGATGCTTTCAGAAAAACAAGGGGTATCCCCCCCCCCCTATTTTTTTTTCATTTGTTTCAGCAGGGAACAAAGAGCGACACCTCGGGTCACAGCTTATACGAAGTTCTTTACTCAGACCCAACTGTGATCAGGAATTCGTGCTCAGTCAACAGCCTTAAGCGGTAAGCGTTTTGTGCTAGCAGCTGTCTTAAAATTGTAATAAATTGCTAAAATTCAAGAAATGGCATGTCTGTATATAGCATTAGTGTTATTTCAAGTAAAAAAAATCTTTCTGGGGTCTTTTGCATTGCAAAATCATGGTACGTTTATTAGGCATGCCATAGTGGGACTCCAGGTTGATTTTGACTAGCTAGAGTTCATGAACGTGCACCTGTATCTAGATACGGAAGGTTGCAGGGTCAGTTATCTGTTCGCAATGACAGCACATTAAAGAGACCCTAAAGGCAAATAGTAAGTCGATGTTTATTGTGAAAATAGTGGTTCAGGAACCTCGTCGTGCTACTTTTGTGTCAAGGAAGTGCTTATTTTGAAATAAAATCGCGTTATAGTGGTCCACATCAAGTTAGCGCACTTTAAATACCCTGCCTGAAAGTGGTCTGTTTCACTTCACTGTTGCTGTGCTCAATGTTGCCCGGCTTTATTGCGCTGCTGCCAACACTATCAGCAAAGCAAAGGTACCGAGAGTCACAGCAACAACAACGGTCACTCAATAATTTTCTGCCATAGTCTAATATGGTGGGCTTTCTGGGTTCAACCGGGCCCCGCTAGATGGCACCACCTATACAGTGTGGCCAGGTTAAAATGGAACTTTTGAGCCACTCGCAACATTCCCCATAGTAACTCCCTGTGGTTATTTTTTCTGTAAATCAAACAGAAATGGACAAGCAGCATTTTATTACTTCTCGTGGTGCACGGAAGGTTCTTTGTTTATTGCAGCTAGCTTGATTACTAGTGAATAATTGTAGTTGGTTGCTTTTACTGTCATCGGGATCAGTTTCCGAAATATCCCGCTCATGGGGCCTGTCGTGTGGCACATTTAGCTTGATTTCTCAGTATGTAAGGCACTACTGTTGATAATATTGCCAATTTAGGACAGTCATACATTGAGCTTTCCCTATGATATAAGTTGTTATTTGCCTTTAGTGTCCCTTTAATGCGGTCGAACAGAAAAATGTTTTCCAGTGGCCAATGGTATGGCCACACTTAATTCAGTTCCTTCTGCTAATGTATCACTCTACAGTCTGGGATGTTAAACTGCCTATTTTCTTCTGATAATCATCTGTTAGTTGATGTGGCAGAGCTGCATTAGTGAACAATTAACATATACGTTTTGCTGCTTGCACTCTCCCTAAGTGCTTTTTATTGTGGCTATCTGATGCTTTTGAAACTGTGAAAGTGGGAGCAGCCAATTGCCATTAAGTTTAGGGAAATAAGCAAATGGGTTTGAGATATATTCATCATATAGGGCTGCTCCAATGGATGAATGCCTGAGAGTAAAAAAAATGCCTTATGGTGATCGGCCCTTCCAATTCCGGCATAGGCACTAGTGGGGTAGACTGCAATTGAGCTGGGTTGATAGTGTAAGCAGAATTTAACATTTATATTTAGTCAGTGATGGGATAGTAACACTGAAGAAATGTCCCTTAGTGGAAACAGGTGTGCATGTGATAGTTAACTGTGTGTTCAATTAATATGGCTGTCATTAAATCAGCTTGTACATTCATCATTTCTTTCGGTTAGCAGCGGGAGCTGGCAGAAAGGTTGAACATGGTTGAGTAAAAGAAAAAAAAATATTAAGTTAAACTTGTCTGAATGCATTGATATTGAATATATTTCTGTACATGTAGTTTTTTATTACTTTGGTTAATTTCAGTATGATGATGACAGAGAGAGCGATCAAGCAAACAGCAGGCATCAGTGTCACGTGTACGCCGAGCTATAGAGCAGCGTCTTCAGCAGAGGCTACAACTTCATGAGCGTCTTGCCGAGCAGGAAAAGTTGCAACTTCGAATAGGTCTGCTAAAAGAAGTCATCGAAGAGCGTTCTCGGCAGCTTGAAAAGGAGCAAGTTGCCTGCAAAGTTAAAGCGCAGGAGCTAGCTGACAAAGGTGCCTAATTTTTTTCATTTATTTTGTTGTTCTATTTTTTGGGGGGGGAAGGAGGCAGAGGTGGCTGTTTCACGGCTCTATATGTATATCAATGTTCAGTCTGTTCAGCGAAATCTCAGAGTGCATGGCATGCAGTACAGCCAACGCTGCAGTCACACACCACTGTAGCAGACAACACAGTTTAACACTGCGCCCCCTCAAGCATCTGCGCACTTATGAGCATCTGCCCACGTGTGACTGCAACGCTGGCCGCACCACGTGCCATGCGCTTCGAGATCTCCCCTAAGCATGAAACAGACTGTGCATGCTATGCTCACAGTGACGAACCTATTGTTTTTCAGTTGTATCAATTTTGTGTTTATTTGGATGAAACTAATATCTTATAGTGTTTGTAAACTATCAAAAGATATTCATGTTCATGAATTGTGCATATTCAACGTTATGGCCATATTTTGCTTCAATATTTGAAATTATGAATATTTGCACATACCTAACGAAATCATTTTGGTGACATATTTAAACTGCACGAAGTATACAACATGTTAGACACATAGAATGATCACAAATGAAGTGCACTGTGTGCATAGAACGATCGTTCTATGTGTCTAACAGTGTTCTCTTTTTCGTGCAGTTTAAATATGTCTTCAAAATCTATTAACCAACTAGCCCAACCACATGCATTACTACTGAAGAGACACTGTAGTGGAGAGCTTTGAAACAAATAAAAAAGAGAAAAATACAAATGCAGGCCATCACGACAATGAGTTTGTTAGAAGCTTGCCCAAAATCAGTGACTTGCTTGTCCAGTTATATCAGCCAACAGAGAATAGTATCTCCAATTATTGCAGTTCAGCTTTGGCAACTGTGTTTTAGTGGTTAAGGAATGATATGTGAAATAAAAAAAAAAAACAGGTAGTTGATTTTGGGTCATGTCACTGTAGTTCTTGCCAAAAATACTAGAAATGGCCTTGTACAGTTTTGGGAGGTAGCTTAGTGGCTGAAGCTTATCTGCCATTTAAATGAAGGGACCTTGACCTCCGCATATCAGATAAAAGGTTAGTGGTATGATTTGGCAACTTTAACAGTTTCAAAGTACACTGCTCTACGGGTACTGCTTAGTTAAGCTATAAGGTGGCTTCTTATAATAATGCAAGCGCAAGAGTGCCACATTTTGAGCTGGCAGAACAGAAAACCAGCTTTCTCAGTTTTTCGCCTCCTATGTGTGAGGCAAGAAGATGACCGAGAATTCTTGTTGTAGTTTCATTCATGAATTCATGTTGATTTTCTCTTGCCGCACTGTACCAGTACAGTACGTAGATTTTGTTTACACTATATGGAAAAGATTAAGTGACGCCAAGCCAATGCATTGACTGTCTTTTGCGGGGGCAGAGAAGCAACTGGCGACTATGGCGGCCGAGCTTGTGGAGAAACGGAGCACGCTAGTGGAAAGGCGGAGGCACTACTTTGAAGTCCGGGAGAACTTGCTCAAGACTTCCTCGCGGTTGTTGTTCAGACAGAAGGAGCTCATCACCGAGCTGGCTTTTATATACCCCGTCGTGTCCTGTAAGTGTGATGTCTTCTGATCAACATTATTAATGATTGTTGAGGTTTTGTGTTCCAATAAGAGTTTGAGAGATGCCTATAGTGGAGGGCCTCAAAAATGTCGTCCGCTTGGGGTCTAAATCCAAGTGCAAACCTCTAGCACTTTGCCTCCATCAAAATGCGGTCACTGCAATCAGGGAATCAATCCCGCTATATTTGGGCTTGCAGTCGGGCACCATAACCACTGGACCACCACGGCTAGTTTCGTATAAGCTTTGAAACATACTGCAGTGCTATTCTAGAAAATGCAGTTGCTTTTGTTTAACCTTGCAGCTAAGTTAATTTGTTTTCTAATCCAGTTACCTCTAGAGCTAAAGCTATGGAACATCATCTTAGACATTTTGTTTTTATTTATTCTGGGATCTTGATCAAACTGCATGGGCTTATGTTGTTTTTTCTGCTAATTTAAAATATGTAATTACTTTTTGTGTAACTCGTCTTGTTCCTGAAATAAATTAAGTTCGCCCCTTATTAAGGCCAGCATAGAAAAACAAAGTGCCGAATTAAAAGGGATATTTAAGATATGGCAACGAAAGCTAATCACTAGAGATTGAAAGTATGAAGAGTTTTCTGTTTTTTGGCCTTTCTTACCATAACAGTAACATTATTTTCCTCAGAGACCCCTCAAGGAGTATTGCACAGCAAAATGGTTATTTCGAACTTCATATTCCAAAAGCAGTTGGAATTGTGTTACAATTTAGATGAGTAATTAATTAAAAAGGTTTGTGCTCTAAATTTTGCTCTGATACTTACATTCTACACATGTACAGATTTTTATTGCAAAAAGAATTATTGCTGTACTTGCCCTAGCTGCAGTAATATTGAGGCCTCAAAATTGAACAGTTGTAAATTTACTTTTTTGATAAAAACGAAAAAAAAAAGTAGTAGTACACAGTTTCTTAAAAGAAAAACAGTCACGGTGTGCATATTTGGTGATACTCATAAAGCCAGTCATAAATTGGTAGCAGAACTTAGAACACAGATGCTGGCAAATTATAAAGAGGCCTTGAAGTAGGCTCCCCATTTTTTGAAGGTTCTGCATTTAGATATCCCTAAAAATACCACTTCCTGGTGTGCGGAAATTTTTAGAGAGATAGGAAAATACTTGCAGAAATCAAACACAGTAAACTCTGATAATTCATACTTTTGGTTAGTTCAAACAAAATTCAATTTTTTGATTGGCTCTATATTCTTTCAATGTATTTAAGAGCCTCTTAATTCAAACTCCATCATTCGGTAATTAATAATTTTTGAGGTTCCATAGCATAAAATATCTGCTGCTTTCCCACTATTATCTAAAATTATGCGTGCTTATATAATCCTAACAGTCTAAAAATGAAAAATAAGTGACTCGAGCCTTCAAGAAAAAAGCTTGGCTAGTAAACAAATGTTTGCAACGAAGCACACGCATAATAAACCGTGATGCTTCTCAACTGGTAGAGAGCTTTGTGTTGAAGGCACATATAGCAAACAAGCAGCTGGCAATTGACGATTTATTTAAAAGGTCTGATCAGCAGTGAATTGCCGATAAACTTGTGGACCTTACACCACTGCTTCCTGTTTATTGTGTGCAGTTAGAGTTTAAAAAAGCTTAAAATTTTTTTTATTCTGGGAAAATCAATGCCTAATCATAATGTCTAATGTCACCTCAACCACAGTCATATATGTGAGAACTTCTCATAATTCAAACTTCTTGATAATTTAAACGAAATTCAGAGGTCTCTTCAAGTTTTTGGTAATGAAAGTCGACTGTATGCCAATTTTAAAAAGTGAATTTTTTTGTCTTTCGTCATTTTTCGGTTCCAAAGACCAGTCGGCCCCATGAGAGAAATGGCGTAACATAAATAAAAGGTGCCTTTGCTTTGTCAGGTAACGGAAGTACAATCAGCGTATAAGCTTTATTCAACTTTGTTTATGAGAACAGTTTTTTCTGGGGTAATTGTTGTTCAGTGGCCTTCTACTGCTCTCACTTTTGAAACAGTGCAACTTTCAGTACACCCTGTATTCCATTGTAAGTATGTCAAAAAGAATGCTGGTATGATTTGGGACATTAGAGCATATGTACTCAACAAAGAATGAGATGTCAGTATATCAAGTTGCTACGAGCTATGACGTCAGAAACTTTGCGTCTGGACTCCTAAAATACTCAATTGCAATATATCTTCCAGTTCCCAGGAGAAAAAGGCTACACCATCTGTCTTGTTCATCTTCCTAATAGTGAGGACTTCAGTGGTGAGTGTTCAAACACTTGTGTTTTTCTATAGTTCTGAATTTGTCCCACTTTTTTGTTTTTGTAAAGTCCTTCAGTTTATGTTTGGGTTGCCATAACTGATGAGTTCTACATATTTCGAAGCGTGTGTCATTTTTCTTTTCTTGAAGCTGCTACTGTAAGCGTTGCATACAAGCAGGGTTAACTAGAGGGCACAAAGACAACAACAAAATTAGAAAGCTATTCTCAAAACTCTAGTTTGAGTATTTGTTTCACATTTATTATGGGATATGTGGGCCATTCTTGCATCATACGAGTTCGTTTTGACCACACATGGCTTCATCAAGCCCTCAGTTACATTCAGCTTAAAACTTTTTGTGTATATGTCGCATTTTACACTTCTATCTCCTCTTAAGCTAGTGAACTGGCTTAATGAGATATGCCCTTTTGTAATGGCTCAGTTATGCGTGGGCCATCATTTGCTTACTGGTGTCGCAGCTAGATGGTTGTATGAAACTTTCGTAATGCTGATAGTGCTTCATTGTATTACAGCAGTATGAACACTGCCATTCTCAACTTCTAGCTGCTTTAAGTGCCAAGAATTTTGCAACAGCTTCACATAGGAGCTTGCAAAAATGCTACAGATGCACGTGTTTGGTCTGCTGGGTACTTTTGATTGCATTCATTACTACATTACATATTGTTGAATAATCTGTGTTAAACCACCATATTATACATGGAACACCAGACGTGCTTAGCTATGTTGATCAGGGAGCATTGTGTAGTGCCTGATACTGTGGAGGCACTCTACTATTTCATAGTGTTGTTTGAGCATGTGTACTTACTTAAATTTTTTCATGTTGAGTGACGAAGTGGTGAGTAATTTACAGTGAGGTTGATAGAGCTGCGTTATTTTTTCTATTTTCCAATCCAGATCGGGATGATCAAACAGTTTCGGTTGCCTTGGGTTACGTCACACACACACTGCTGATGATGTCTCACTTCTTGGACACGCCGCTTCGCTATCCCCTTATCCACTGTGGATCTATGTCTTCAGTGCGAGACAACCTCATCGAGCATTTTACAGACAAAGAGCGCGAGTAAGCTTCTTCTATTCTTATCTCTTTGATGCTGAGTTGTTCGCTGAAGGCCAGCCTGTTGGCCTGAGCCAGCTAACATTCAGCTGCAGCCTGTGACGGTACCTTAATCTGTCGAATGTGCATAAGTTCTACGTAAGACAGCCAGATTTAATTTTTCTGTCCTCTTGCTCATGACTTATGTCTATTTGTATTGTTAAGCATTTCATCAGGGAACTCGGGCATGTAGCAGATATAGCAAGCTACTTATGCATGCTGACTAGCCCTTAAAAAGACCTTTCTAGGACTATATTGCTACGTAACTGACATATCAGCGGTCAGAAGAAGACAACGAAGAAGTGGACTGGCTTGCTGCCGTGCATGCTGTGCTCAGTCTTGATCGGTGTTAATACACTCGCCAATAGTCATGCCTAGTCTCATTTTACCTGACACATTTGTGGTGGAGGTGCTGGGTGTCGATCCCAGCACCACTCGCCACTCTTGACAATATTGTGCAATTTATTCCACTTCATCTTAAATAAGTGTTCGCAGGTAGTAAGATTATTTGCAGCCCTTGCGCTTCAAGACGTTTAAAAAAGCAGTGAAGGTGCCAATTGGGATGTTTTGCCTCATGCACTCGTGAAAGTGAACTAAGTGATAAATACATAGTGTCAACTTATTCGCTGTGTGCACTTGGTGGTGGAAATGTAAAGGGAACCCACAGAATAATTTCTCAGGTAACTTTCTGTTCATACCTCAGTGTCATCATTTTTCCACCATGCATTCTTTGTCTTGCTTCATTTTCCAGTGCACATTTTACAATGCGAGTATCTCCGATTGTAGCAGATCTGATTCATTCTTGGACCTAATCATCATTCAGTTCTAAAGATAACCTACCCACAGTTTTGAGCCCTTGCTGTGTTTGTGATTGGCCCATCCACTTATATTGTGCATGTAAATTTCAGGTTTCCCTTGTATATGAAAGGAAAGGACCGCATGACATTCAACTACGGTGTCTACCTCCTCAATCGCAACATTGCCCAGGTAATGGCTCTCGTATGCCTGACCTTTAGCACTCATGTTTTTTTTTACATTTGGTGATTTGGTGTATCTCTTTGAATGAACATCTTATGCTTGTAAATCAATAAAATATGGTTCTTTCAATTAGCATTCCGCCATGATATTCTATTTACAGCTAAGCTATGGGTTCAGTTATTTAGATTCTGTTTGCTTAATCAGACCAGAAGTCTTGATTTTTCACGGAATCAGTGCCCATATGTTTTCGATGCCAATTCCCTAATCTAATGCGTCCTTAAATAAAAGTTCACCTTAGATGTTTAAAAAACTACACATGGCCATGACTATTCAATGGCTGTCTCTCAAAGCATTCTTCATGGTTTTGAGATACAGAACAATGTGAGATATTGGACACTAAGGGCCAACAACTATCACAAAGGTTGCTTATTTGCTTAAGCAACGACTAAAAACTTGTTCATGTAAATAATGTTGTTGTATTCATTACTGCAATTTTAGTCTTATTTGGTGTAGTGTCCTCACGTGATATGCAGTGCCTACTATGCTTAAGTCTGCGGTTAGCAGATGGTAAATGTTGCTAAAGAAGCATGCAAAGCCCTGTCACTTGGTTTAGATACAGTTTAACCAGATTATATTAGATGCAACACAAAGCTAGGATTGTTACCATATCTTCAGTTCACTATAAGCATACATGTATCCTTTACAGGCCGGTATGGGTAGGTGAAATTTTTATTTGTTTTAAGTCCATGTTCATGTCTTCCTGTTGCCTTTATTTTTCCCTCAAGTTGAGGTGCTACTGCAACATTGTTACCAAAGATCTTCGGACAACCCTGCACAATCTTCATGGGCTTTATGAGTTCTACAGCATAAAGCAGTGAGTGATTCTTTGTGTTTTTTTTTTCTTTGCTGTTGCGTTTTACTTTGTTTTCCAAGTGCTGGCAGTTTAGCTTTTGTTATTTCTTATGTCCTGCCTGCAACTTTGGCGCTGGTGTTGGGGTACAATTGAGTAAATTTTTTAGCACTTCATGTGTTATGCTAAAAAAAAAGTGCTCACTGTTGCCTATCAAAAATTTGAATGACTGGGTGTTACCACCACTGGCCCGTAAACTCGAGGCATAACGGCAATCTTGCACTATGAAAAAATATTTCGGCAGATGCCCATCAAGGATTTTTCATATCTACATATACTCAAACCTCATTATGACAATGCTTATTATATAAAAATAAGTTAATTATATTCAAAAGTTATTATAAAGGTATATTTATAACCCTATATCTATTGCAAGACTTTATTTATTTCACTATAACCAATATTTCGTAATATCTCGGTTTGTTATATCAAGGTTTGAGTTTATATACTTCCAAGAACATTGATGGGGCCGTGAAACGTTCTCCGAAATTTTTCAACTACTGTGCATTCAGGATCTTGGTCATCCATTCCCTACTATACCTCAACTCGGGTGATCGTTTTGGCTGACCGAATAGCTAAAAAAGCGCAATTTCGGTTTTCGAGCTCATGTTCTCGACAACTGTGCAGCTGACGTCACTTTAAGACAACCGATAAAGAGTCTCTATCGTCGAAAAAACATGATGATGCAGCGCTGTTCTTGAGCCTTAGTTGACCATGGTTCCTACCATCATAGTGTTTTGATTACGGTGCCATCACCATCAAAACAATACCACAACGTCATGGACACACAGCATAGGGTCACCGACCTTCCCGAACGACAGCGTCGCTTGCTGGAGCGTAGTCGACTCTTGCGCTTTAAGCCGTATGTCGACGCACCCATGCGAGTGTGAGATCCGCCATCGTCGGTGCAAAACAGCGGTGGTGGCGGCAGTGGTGGCGGCGGCGACGACAGTGAAGAAGCCTGCACCCTGGAACTACACGTATCCAGACCGACCGTGTGGCAGAACCCTCGCTTGTAGAATCCTCGACCAGGAGCCTCTGCTCTGTGTGTTCATACCTTCGGGACCATCGCGGTTGATAGTTTGTAGCCACACTGCTCTGCGCTGTGGCTCGCTGGGCAGTTGTGAAAGCAAAGATTGTTCGCACTTTCATAAGTTGCGCAGCAGTTTTCTGGCGACACACACAGTTGCCATAGCGAGGACTAAGCCATCCAGAACATAAAACACAACCTGGCACAACAAGAAAAAAAAAAAAAAAAACTGAGACTCTGCACTGATTGAGCCAAGGCGATTGGCGGGAAGGCAAGGATGCACATGTAGCAGAGCCCTGATGTTCTTCAAAGTGGAACCAAGCAGATCGCTCGCTGTGAATGCACAGCATACAACTCAGAGCGCAAGAACTGCTTTTTTTTTTCTAGGTTCCTATAAATCTATAACATTAGGGCAAAATAAAGCTAACACTTGGTTTGTGACTTCTCTTACCCTCACGTTTCACTGACGTCACATGTTAGTGCCTATAGCGACCAATGGTGCTGCATGGTTACTAGTGAGCCCCCCAAAAAAAAACTGGGATTTCAAGCGGGCATCAATAATTACGGACTGGATACTGTGCCAAAATATTTTGGAGTTGGCATGTCTAATCCTTATTGAAGCAGGGAAAATTGCAGCCGGGATGTTTAATTTTCATTTCACGACCTCTTTAAAGGACCGGGCAAAAAATAATGTCATCACAAACACCCATGTGGTTTGTGCAGTGCCCCAATTGAGACTCTTGGCTTGGGCTGCAGGGCAACTCATATCTTTCCCACATTCCTATCTCTCAAATCCTTTGTTGGCGGCTGCGTATTTCTTATGCATTGTGTTCAGTCAAACTGATGGCTTCATGAGCAAATAATCAATAAGAAAATACATTTTAACCCTTGCTGACTTTTTTTTAATCTCTTCTTGAAGGAACAGCCAACCAAGCAGTGCACCGGTGCTAGTGCCAGCTTCTCCACTCGCTGTGCCTGTCAAAAGTAACAACAACACAGCCTCTTCACGGGAGCAGCGGTCATCTGATGAGGTGCTTTCGCCTCCCACAGCGAAACGCGAGGACATGGAGCACATCTTCAAATGTGAGGAAGAGCCGTCGGGTGGCGCAGAGGCAAGCTCAGCCCCGCAAAAACTGAGCAGTTCTCTGGACAAAGGGCTGGACAACTTTCAGAGCACGGCTGCCACTGAGCCCGAGGACAAGAGGAGCACCGCAATGCCTGTCAAGTTCCCAACACTGAAGAGCAGCTATCGCCTAAGTGAACCAAACCTCCGAGAGTTCGAGACGCGCACCATGTTCAAGGAGAGACGAGCAGCGACGGAGCACTTGTTGCCCGTGCCGCCTGTTGTGTACGACGCAACGGAGGAGAGTGGATCGCTCAACAGTGGTGACGGCATTGTAGAAGTAGCTGTGGACACACTGTTTGATGCAGATCTGACGGCACGGACAGAGCAGTTGGCTAGTGCGGTGCGCAGTTTCAGGACTTACTCGTCGGTATCATCGTCCAATGGACCGAGCCCAAAGCCATAGCGTTTTTCTCTCCCATAGTGTAAAGGGAAGTGGGTTGGGTTGTGGAAACCCTGTGCAAACCATTGTGTTTTTCTCTCCCATATTGTAAAAGGAAGTGGGTTGTGTTGTGAAAGCCCTGTGCAAGACTTCCTCTCTTGATTACTAAATTGAACTGTTTTGAAACGAGGAACTTCACATCGGCAGCTCGAGACAGCTAGTTTCTGTTTATACTCCTAGCATCATTGTCGGGCTTACAGATGGCAGTATGGTGTATATTTCGGCTATGCCAATTCGCTGCACAAAAGCCCGGCAGCTCTGGTTTGTTCTGTATACAGGCTTGCCAAATATGTGTAGCCTTGGTAACGAAATCGATTACGAGCACTTCGTCTTTTCTATACTAGAATGATGTCTCCTCTGGTAGTGACACCATTTGTGCCTGTTTATTGCAAACGTCAAAGAACCTGTTACCAATTAATGGTAAATTTACTTGTATATTCACTGGTTATTGTAAGTTAAAGAAGTTTTTATGCTGTTATAAGTGTATTCGGCATGTTATATTATATTATTTTGAATGTTAACGTAGTTATAAGTGCACATGTTTGTTCAGGATGGCTACCAACTCCTGACTGTTGTAAATTTTGTGTTAATAAGTGATATCTCTTTTGTACTCTGCGTTTTGTTGTGATGGCTTTTCGTGGGAACTGCCACATTGCAGGTGAAAATTGTAACTGTGCAATGTAGTGATATTTGTTTGCTTGCAGTGGGGATTTGCCACACGAGTTATAATCATTGTGATATTAGTGTCTATCTTTTCTACGATGAGTGCTTGAGCACAGGACTTTTTGCTGGGAAACAAAAGTAACTGCTCATGCTAGTCAAAAAGATTAGAAAGCATTGTATTCAGCTTGGATGTTTGAGAGACTGAAATAAAACTTGTTTTCATGGTTGACAATTTCTTCATGATCTGTGAAAGAGCCTATAAGCGACATTGACAAAAAATACGGGTGGTGCACTCAGGTGTTTATTGTACTGTGCTTGAATGCCTCAGAAAGCACTACCTCTGAATATTGAATTGAATTTTTTTAATTGGAAATGAATTTGTCATTATGTCTGGCTTGGTCCCTGCGGTAAAAGTAATGCAGGCATGCTACAAATAAAGCACGCTTAAAAGCTCCCTGTATAACTTTCTTACTGCCAAATAAAATTGAAGCATCACACTTTTCAGAAAGCTTGGTTTCTTAAGTTTAAAAAACTGGTCACTTGAGTTTTGAATCGATGTATTCTTGATCAGATAGCTTTGCATTTGCTCACAACATCATGGCGTTATATGCATGGATAAAGAACCCATTTCTCCAGTATGTTCAATAAACGTGCCCTTTGTTTTTCGAAACTCGGACACACACTGGTGTGAATTCCTCATGTCCGCATTTCATCCTTGATTGCCGCATTCCTCTGGTGGCATTTTAATTTGTACAGTGTACAGCTGTGTTTCAGTCTTCAGTGTCACTGCAGCAGTAAATCTTGCACGGAGTGTCATCTTTCTCAGAAACTCATATATAAGAGCTGTGTACCCATCTAGCCCTATGCTTACGTCATGCCCGTAATATTGTCATGCGCTAGCTGTGCAGCAATATTTTAGGTCATTCCTGCTTTGGCTTTTTAAAATTGACCAAGGCATTGGCTACGAGAGGTAGGTACTGTGTGGAGAGGATAAAAACAATGTCACAAATGGACGAAAACGCATTACTGATGGCGTTATTAATGTGGACTTGTTTGGCTCTGCAACAAAAAGGAGATGTGTTATTAGTCAGAATGAAAGCAAGGCACCGCTATTCTTAAAAAATCATTGAGGAAGTTTGTTTGCTGTGTGTAGCATTGCCTTCTTTCATTGAGAGAAGAAATTTTTGGTAGTTCTAAAATCAACATTGGCATGAAAAGCCTAAGAAGATCACATCTGCTTAGCCTGATGACATGTTGCTGCGTACTTCTAATAGAACATACAATATCAAAAGTTAGTAGCCTGCGATGGCAGGCATATTAGCAATCGCAGCCAATTAAGCTGCATGGGGCAAAATACAAAAATGGCTGTTTACCAGGTTAATTTTTGCAGGAAGTCAGAACTAATGCAGTCATCTGCAAAGTTATGCCTCACGACTGGATCGTTGCTGTAATGCATGAGCTCGAAATTGTACTTTTTTGAAATGTTGAAAGTGCGAACATTTTATGTGCCCTAACTACCAGTTTCTCTGTCATGATATATAGAAATATATTGAAAAAGATTAGTAATTCCGAGGCAAATTTGTACAGGCTACAACACTAAAAAAAAGTATCGCTAAACCAAACTCCAACCTTTATTTTTCTGAGCGTGATTTTTTTGAGCATCACGAATTCATATAGTTTATGCTTCTCTTGTAAAGCTGGAATTTGTAACATTGGCGCTAAATGTCGAGCGCCGTGGTACGCGCGCGAAAGAAAAGGCTGTTGGTCATATTCTGTGGAGGCTAACAGAGGACCGATGAAAAGAGGGCCGCTGCGAAAGTTCATGTGGTTGTCTTCAAGTCTGTGTGTCTTTCAGGTGATAGAGATGGGCCGACTCATTTGACCTCTGCTTCAGCAGCGCTCGCGCGCTTTTACCCGCTCGTGGAAGTTACAATGCTTGGGCGCATGTTATCAATTTAGACTTTTTACAGAACATGGCCGACATGGCAGGGACGATAAAAACCAACAAGCTTTTTTAATTATTTTTAGGAGGCATTGCTAGGGCGGCTAGGGTGACGCTAGCGCTACTAGCATTGTAAGAACTCACCAAGCAGTCCATAGCAGACGACAAAAATGACGTCACATACCTTGTTCGCAGCGCCATTAACAGCGAAGCACAACACAAGGTAATGGCGTAATGTGCCGCGTGCTTTTTAATAATTAAAATATTTTAAATAATTTGAACTATTATTATTATTGTAGTATTAAAAGGTAATATTTAGCAGTTTTATAAATTTAAATAGCCGTGACAACATTTTTTTCACTTTGAGGTCAATGACTTGTTCAGCACTAGTGGCGCTTTGATCGCAACCGGCAAATCGGCGCCGGCGTTCATTATCTTCCCGTCATTCATTGCGTTTCTTTCATCGGGTTGTGTGTGGTAAGCCGAAGAAAAATGTGAGTTCACCTTGTTATTCGTATTGAACTCGCCCGTTATACTTGGTGCTAGCCATGTAAGGCGACGCGAAATGTCTTTGTGTTCGTTGTGCTCTTCGTAACGCTGCCGCCGTGATAATATCGCGTGTTCAATTCTTTGTCGAATCATCTAGGCCTAGCTCCGCCGACGCCCGAAAGCGGCGCACTTGTTCAGTGTGCTCTTGTTCCAAGTTGAGAACATTGTCGCTCCCGCAACCTCGATATCGTATGGGTGCGTCTGAGAAAGCGACTTGAGATGAGCTAGCTTGTTAATAAATTACTGGTTTAACTATCTGTCAAGACTCAAGTGTAGGCCTAGTGGGGACCTCGCTGCCGAGTGAAAAAAAAAAAAAAAAAGCGATGCGTAGTCACCTAGGCGGCGCGGCTAATTTGCATTTCTTGCACGGTGGTCGACTGCGTGCCACTTCTCACGGGTTTAACGACTGGCGTGTACGTCATCTCAAAAGTTGTCTATTGTCATCGAATGGCACTGTGAAGTGTATTCTGTTCGGCGGAAAGTATTAGTCGTGGTAATCGTGCAGGCTATAGCCACGCGGGTCTTCGGTACAGAGTGACTGCACGTGCGACGGCTGTGCAACGTGAGGACTCTTATTTGAAAGGCTCTTGGTTTTATCGGGAGGCTGGCACAGGAGGACTTTCTAATCGTATTCTGGAGCCTGTGCACTTAATTGCGTTATTATATGTACGTTTGTGATCGCTCTCGCGTGCCGTGTGTGCGTGCGTGTTACATTTGCGTTTTCGCTTGCGCAGCCCTAAAAGATGGATGGCGGAGGAATGCGTGGTAGAGGTGGTTACTCAAGAGGGATGAGCCGCGGAGACTTCACAAGAGGTCGTGGCGGGCCTATAAGAGGCCGTGGTGGACCGCCAGGGTGAGATTTTTTTTTTGTTGTTTATGTAATGTTGAAGGGTTACAAAGCCCCTCACACGCTTCTGAGTATCCGTTACACTCACGGAGTCGTATTAGTATCACATTGCCGTGTTTCTTTCAAGTTTTGTTATCGCCATGTTACACTGTACGTAATTCTCAGTGCAAACTGCGCCTGCAGTGTTCGGGAAGCTTCGGGACTGTAGTAGATCATTTCGTTAAGATCACACCCGCTTGGCAAACATTACAGATTATTCTGGAAGCTACGTGGTCGCAAGCGATAATGCTAGAATATTCGACGACACATGTACGATTGCAGATGCTCTGTTCACCGCTATCAGTGCCTGTGTATTGCTGTAATATCTGACCTTCAATTTCCTGGCCACAAGTTCGGCCGAAATAAACAGTTTCATCTTAGCAACAAGTTTGCTCCCTTCGTCCACGTCACAACCCCGTGACATCTGGTGGAGGAGCTGCTTTATCATGTGCCAGACGCCCACGTCGCAAAGAAGGCACCGACACCAGCCACAAGCAGCGAGTTAGCCACAGGCAATAAAGGTCTGCCACCGGAGTTCGGGTTTTTACCCGGCAAGACTCCGAAGACCATGACATTGAACTCAGCGATAATTACAGCGCGTGGGCCACCTGCACCCCTCCTGCGCCGGCAACCTACAGAGCCACCAACTTTCTAGTTCACCGCTCGAAGACCGGGAAAGCTGGCTTGACAGGTTCGGCTGCGTGAATGACAAGCTTCAGCATGTCAATTTCGCTTTAGGAGATGCTGCTTGGACCTGGTTCGAAAATCAAGAGCGAAGCGTCTCAACGTGGGACATCCTTCCCGCCTGGTTCTTCGCCATTTTGGAAGTGTGGTCTGCAAGGAGAAAACTGCAGCTCTTTGAAACCCGTCTGCAGATGCCAAATGAACACATGGTGCTATTCACGGAAGATGTGATTAAGCTTTTCCGCCACACTGACCCAACGATAAGAAGGTCCGCTTGCTCATGCGAAGTCAAGCAGGAACTCTTCACCAGGCTAATCAGGAACACGCCAAAGACGGTCGCCTAATTCATTTTGGAAGCATCTACAATTAAGAGAACGTATCCGCGTCCCTTTGTGTCATGTGAAACGGCCTTGAAGGCCGTTTCACATGACACAAAAAGTAGCGATTCACAAGCAGTGCGGCACGGCTGCTTCTTTTCGGGTTCGAGCTGCCGGCTAAACTGGGTCACTTTCCAATCTTCAATGTGTCCGCACAATTCATGCTTATGAATGCCTAAAATTTAATTAAAAGCAGTTTTTTATGCGTACCATTCTCGTGTCTTATAAGTGAAATCGTCGAAAAAAAAAAAAAGGCTTAGGTGGAAATTGGTTTTCTGGCAGTGCGCTGTCGTTTCGATGGTAGCGGCACCTCAAGGCGCGGCAGCAAAGCTCGCAACATGCCACGGGTCTGGTGGCATTTCTAACTTAGTTCACAACTTTCTGTGTGTGTAGAAAGTTTTTCTTGGAATTTTAGGAAGCACCACTGTGAACTTTCGGCTTTATCAGAGGGAAAAAAGGTAGTGACGTGTGGCTCTACAATTTGCTCCAAAATTAACTTGCATTGCTCCAAAGCTTCTTCAAAAGTGAGTTATTCCTGCTCCCTGAGCTGCTTCAAAAGACCGAAGCCTGCTTCCATAGGTGATGGTATGCGAGTATGCAGTACATGTGATGACAGTTCAGATCGATTCAGGAAAGGTGAACAGACATATGTAATTAATGTAAGAAACAGAACATAGGTCGAATTTTTTTCAAGAAAAAATTCAGTCTACCCACGTCTTATTACCGGTCATTGGCAGAAAAATATGTGGAGGTCTTGTAACAATGGGCAGCTGAAGTCTAAAGCCTCCATCGCCATCTTGAGCATAGGCAGCGATGCCGTTGGACAAGGCCTTCAGTGTTCTGGCAATACCATTTTGCCTCTGTGGTTTTCCCTTTTCTATTTCCTTCAGAAATGAGGAATAGTAGACAGCAGTTTCTGATAAGCTTTAAGAAAAAGTTAAGTACGGCGAAGCGCACGGCAACCTGGCAACTGAACAGGAATTTGGGAGTATCGGAAAAAGCGTCACATACTGGAGTAGCCAAAAGCAGCGCATTACATCCTGCTGCAATAACAAAAAAAAAAAGTTGTCATTATCATGGACGGACTGCAGTGCATCCCGAACTGGAAACGCTTGTCGCCAAATTCACCTGGGAGCTGTGTGCAAGTTGCTACCCATAACAGCAGAGTGCATCCGCGTGAAAGCTTTCAAGATAGCGCGCGACTCTGGGCTCACTAGGGTGCATTTCAAGGGATCGCGATCGTGAGCGCGGCGATTTTTGAAGTGAAAGGGCTTTGCGCTGAGCCGGCGTACTTCAGTCTTTTTACTAATGCTGCATCAGTAATGCATTGAATGGACAATGCACTCTGGGGCGTTACAGTGAACAACAGGCGTCGTTGCACTCAAGTCCGGGAGAGTCTTAGTGATAGCACGTAGTGACCTTCTGGAGTTTAACTACATAAGATTAGTGTCCAAATAAAGAAAAATGTCCCCACAATGCAGCTCATTTTGCCAAGATAAGGGTATGCTGTGGTACTTTTTTTATTTCTTTTTCAGGCATTTATAGTTTGGGGGGGTCGACCAATGTCTGTTTTTACGGTACAGTTAAGTTGAGATATGCTGAAATTCACAAACTGCCGGCAAAATTCGTTATATGCGGGTTCAGTACTAAATTCGAAAAATAAACGCTCGAATTAAAAGGTGAACTGAAGGCAGAGCTAACCTGAAACACTTATTTAGCGATTAAGAACTGCGTTATTATTACGATAGCAATTATGTGGACACTCTCGGTGGTTTCTTGTCACCGCAGCCATGTTCCGTAAAAAGTCCGAATTCATAATTTCACTCATTGTAAGTTAAGAGTGGGTGTAAGTGTGCTAGCGCTGCTGAAGCAGAATCAAGTGAGTCGGCTCATCTCTATCACCTGGAAGGTGCAGGTGATGACATTCTCTCTCCCCTCCCCATGTGTTAGAACTGCCGTCAAATGCTCAAACAGAAAGGAAACCTCAAGTCTTGGAACGAGCATGAAAAAAATGTGGCGAAAGGGGGGAGGGGTCACTTGAGTAGGAATAGTTAACTTTGATTTTAAGGGCGCAATCGCTGGTGCGCGTGCTATCTCACAAGCATCAGTACGCTTCCAACATGCAGAGACTGTTCTGCAAAGAGCACTTCTCCCTGGAGCGGCCGTATTAAGCGTTTTGTAGTTCTGTGATATCGGGTCCAAAAGAGTTGGCTTACTTCTTAATTCACATGACATTACAATTTGTTGATATCGTGTTCATTGCATTCAACGTGCTGTCATGTTCTTGCGAAAGCTAATAGGTGAATCGTGAAGGATACGGTTGCAAACTTACAGTGCAAGGCGGAAGCGCATGACAAGTTGACTTTCAAAGATCCTTCATTGTCACCATGCCAGTGGCGTACCAACTCTTTCGCAAGTGTGTGTGTACATATATATATATATATATATATATACATATACATACATGCATATATAAAGAGAGAACTGTATTGACGAGCTCGCACTCTTAGGCACCACAATGTTTTACACTTTAACAGGCCGAGGAATGGCGCCTTTAGCCCGATTTCGGTGTCCAATATGCGACGTTCATCTTTCTATCGCACCTTTTTCTTTGATTATGCTTTGGTGGCTAACATACATATACCACAATAGTTTGTTTAATGAATTTATTTTGAATGTTAGTTGTCTGGATGGAGATGTACCAAGCATCAACGAAGATACATCAAAGTTGAACGGGTCTATAGCTGCCGAACACCAAAGCATGCATTCGACAAACCTTCCTTTATCAGTGTACAGTAAATATTTAATTACCGCTCTAAAGGTGCGTTTTAATTTCGTGTTACTTGCAGCATAACAGTGTTTTGTAGTTTGTGCACGTATACTGTGAGCTCATACTTGCAGAAAGAAAGAGGAATAGAGAGAAATAAGCAGCGCTGCACGTGTGTGCTTCTTTGCTGCCTGAGATGTATTTTGAGCTGTAAAATACAATTCAAGTTCAGTGAAAACCAACTAGCCAAATTCTTAACCAAGCCTCCGTAGTGCTGAAATTCACGATCTTTCACCTTCTCCCTGGTGCGGTGGGTCAAGTTGTGGGGCAATCTTAAAAGCTGAGCTTTCCACTGAGCTTGAGTCCACTGCTTTATTTGTGGCCACTTTGCAAGCTGCCACTATGGCTGCATTTATCATGAGCAAAGCTGATCAGGTTTATCAGGCAAAAGCAGCATCATTTTTGGCATTAGTACGGAAAAACGATTTGCCACACTCGCCAGTCCATGAAACGTTTGCTTTGCTTGTTTCCATCCATAACTGCATCAAGTCGCAGCAGAATAAAGCATGAACAAGGGATGTAATATTATAGGACCCTGTTCAGTGTTTTCCTGCTCTGCAATACTACAGCACAAGACACGAAAGCGTCGCATACGCGACCCGCACCGCTATGACCCTACAAGGAAAATCATCACTTCCATCATAACAGTTGGTTTCTCTTGCTGGTTTTGCTGGTTTCTCTTGTTGGTTTCTCCAGCGTGCAGCCAAGTGACCTCTGTCGAAAGTGGGGGGCTCAGCCTCCGGACTTTTTTCGGGGGGGGGGGAGGCGCTTTTGCCCCCCCCCCCCCCCCTCCGGCTGATACGCCTATGCACAATCGTCTTGGAGTTTCCAAGTCACATGCTGAAATTCAAGACAGCAGCGGAAAAGCTGTAGAGTGCTCTGTGTAATAATATATGCATAGATTCATTGTCACTTCCCCTCGTGCGGTGAATGAGAACAGTTGGCAAATCTGTACAAATGGCAAGAGGGCACTTGCTCCTTATTAGCCCATATTTGAAATCTACTGAAATAGGAGCGCTTGCTAAAATTTTTAGTCAATGTGAGGGCGTTACAGACACTGGCAGTGTTAGCCCAACAAAGAAAGACTAAAAATCGGGATACCAGCAGAAATCAAACCCAAGCTTTCTGCATGGCAGTCGGGTGTTCTACTTCAGAGCCACACAAGGCCAACTCCGGCAATTTTTTTTTTTAGGTTTTTGGATCTCTGTGAAATTAAGTCTGTGCATTCATTCGCATGTTTCTGCTAATTAGGCCAAATTACAGGCTCGAGGGTTTCAAAAATTGTTTTTAAATTTTACAGATTGCCTTGAAACGCTCACGTGGCTTGCCACAATTGGGAACATTGCGTTTTTTTATTTCCTGTCGATCATGTGGGTTTGGCCGGTGCATTCTTCGTGGAGCATGCGATTTCCTTTTCTATGTGGGTGGGTGCGTGATGAGTAACAAGTGCTGTGGCATGGTGGTCAGAATACACCATTACGGCCACTAAACACTTGCAGCTGATGACTGCTCGATGTTGGAGCGTTTAAGCTAGTGCTGCCAGCTTGCTGCACAGAAAGTATGGTTAGTACCGTGCCTGTTAAAATGCACATGTGATAACTGACACACTGAAAGACTTTTTGTAATGAAGGCAGGGTCCACTGTGACTGCATCTATTTGTATACGGTAAGCTGCACATTGTGAAAAAGATATTTACTTGACTGACAACTTATGCAAGTGCTAAAAGCGTGTGCGTGCAACACCAATCAAATATGGCACGGCTTAGTCACCTATCTGCTGACCGTCTGCTCTTCGAGACTTTTGCTGAATATTTCAGCTATCGAGCAGTGTGACAAGAGTGACTTGGGAACATAAAAGCACGATTACCCTGACATGGTAAAAAAAAATAAAAAAGGTAGACTTGGCCGATAAAACTGTGTTGAAAAAATAGTGGGCCGGCCTAATGTCTGCGCAACATTATTTGAGGCTGTAATGCTGGTTATATGTACTTCTCTGATAAAACACCATGGTGAGTAAAGGTCAATTGTGGTTTCATTGTTTGCTTTGCATTTAGATTGCCTTGCATTTAGAGCAGTCTAGTTAACATTACAATTGTGTATCCTTATCATTCGACTAGCTATACCTTAGCATTGCCTTACCTTGGATAAATATGCTAACAAAAGTGATCAAAAGTTCTGTGCAATATTTAAATCACTGCACAGTACAATGCACTTATTTTTTTGGCAATGTCGACGTCTGTGCTCTAACGTGAATGCTAGTATTTTGTCAGACTATGTTACCATTTAGAATACTGAAAAAGAATTTGTGGCCATGATTCTCAGCCAATTTCAAGGACTGGGTGCTCAAATTGATTGTCACAACCTTCATTTCTTGCAGAAACTGCATTTTTCACAAACTGCCACGTCTGGTAGCCATGCTAGGAAGTAGAGGAGAGGAGGTGACATTGCAATGCACCAAAAACAGGCATGCCAACAATGCCAGCTGTCACTTGTGCCTCATCCACTTACCGTAATTACTCGAATCTAACGCGCACCTTTTTTCTGGTTAAGAGAGTTCATAAATCGCATGCGCGTTAGAATCGAGTATGAACAAAAAAATTACGGTCAATCAATTGCCATCGGCAAATCCAAAATGGCCGCCCCCTACGTGCCGCGTCGGCATGGCGCGTCTGCCATTTCTGCCTATGTGTTTCCCATGTGCGGCACTTCATACGTGTGCTGAGGAGTTCATCTTTTAGTAGTGCATTAGCATCGACGGCGTGGAAGAACCGACTCCAAAAACTCGAGTGCACCACGATGCCGCTTTTAAAAGAAAAGTCATCGCGTGTGTAGAAACGGACGGAAATCGGGCCGCATCGCGGTCGTTCGGAGTTCCCGAAACATGTGTGCGGAACTGGCGGAAACAAAAGCAAAGCTTCACGCAAAGGCTTCAGTGGACCACAGCAGGGTCGGTTTCCGCAAATTAAAGAGCTGCTCGGCGAGTATGTGCTTGAGCAGCGAGCGGCACAGCGGCCCGTGACGACAGAACTGCTCCAAGTGCGGGCTATGCAATTAGTCTTAGAAAAAGGTCTAATGCGGAGCCAGTTTAAAGCGAGCAAGTGCTGGCTAACTAACTTTATGAAGAGGAAAGGCTTTTCCCTCCGAAGGGGAACATGCACATGCGAAAAGTTTTGCGGAGGAGTACGATGAAAAGCTTCACAGTTTTCAGAGGTTCGTCTTAAACTTGCGGCGCAACAACGGCTACCTGCTTGGGCTAATCGGGAATGCCGATCAGACTCCTCTTTACTTCGGCATGCCTGGCACCACAACGGTCGAGAAGGGGGCAAAGCAAGTTCGCGTGCTCACATCGGTCCACGGTAAAACTACAGTGACGGCAATGCTCTGTTACACGTCAGATGGGCACAAGCTTCGCCCGTACCTCATATTTAAATGGAAGACGCTCCCGAAAGGAGTCGTTTTTTCGAGTGGTGTGATCGTGCGGGCCAGCGAGAAAAACGGGTGCGCGTTGCAATTGATGTCTTACGTTTTTTTTTTTTTTCCGCGATGGAAATCGGGTGCGCGTTACAATCGAGGGCGCGGTAGAATCGAGTAAATACGGTAGCTGCCTCTGCAGTTTACAGAACCATTGTGAACAGCACTGGCAGTGAAGAATGCTCCCTGCTGGGGTAATGCACCTGTGCTTTTATAGAAGGGGGATAAGGGGATGAAAGGAGAGGGGTGTTAGAACGTGGAGTCATGGCTCGCTCATGCGTGTGGCCACCACACTATGGCAATCTATAAAAAATACAGCCAGCTTTTTAAAAAAACAATACATAAAGCTGTTTATCGGAACAGTCATTTTTCCAAGTAGAATTTTAATGTTAGTCAGTTTTCCCAATTTTTTCGTTCTCCCTTAAACCGCCAGTATAGTCCACATGCATGCAAAGGCAATGATGTGCACACAACTAGCGCACTGCACTTAGAAAAACATGTTGATTCACCTGATGATGCTTGGTTCAAAGCCAAAAAAATGCAGGGTAGAGGACTACTCGTTGATTGCTTTGCATTGAACAGTGCTTCATGTGGTGTGTATCTGCCTATTGTTTTAGGTAAGCAATTTTGGGATGTCTGCATTTGTTCATTGCAGGGCATTCAGAGGCGCACCTCGAGGCGGCGGAGAATTCCAGGGCCGTGGACGAGGAGACTTTACGCCGCGGGGCCGAGGAGACTTCTCGCGAGGTCGTGGTGGCGCCGGTGGTGACTTCTCTTCAAGGGGAGGAGGAGGCAGTGAAGAGTTTGTTCCCAGAGGTCGAGGTTTTACACCACGAGGACGAGGGGGACCTCCCACACGTGGGCGGGGAGACTTTGCGCCAAGAGGCCGTGGAGACTTTACACCGAGGGGCCGTGGAGACTTTACACCGAGGGGCCGTGGAGACTTTACACCGAGGGGCCGTGGAGATTTCACACCGCGAGGCCGCGGCGACTTCACACCGAGGGGCCGCGGGGATTTCACACCGAGAGGCCGCGGAGATTTTGCTCCTCGTGGAAGGGGCGATTTCAATGCTGCCCGTGGAGGTGAGTGCACGTGTGCGGCGTAGCATGTGGTTGGTGTTCGTGGTGTTTGTGAGCTAGTATTGCGTAGTCAGTTGCTCTGTGTTGCCCTTTCACCAAGATTATATACGCTTGAGGTTATGTATGTTAGACTCCTGCAGTTTAAGCTCTAGAATTATCCAAATTGAGTCCTGCTTTCTGGCCACATAAGAAAGGGTTTGACATTAAAAGGACTAAAACTTGCCAGAACACTATCGGCAATGCACAAGTGGGGAAGCAGGTTGTCTACTAACCTGGAAAAGTCTGGGAACTTCTGAAAAGCCATTGAGCCACGCCGGTGCTTGGGACTTGTTGGCAAACTTGCCTTAGGCTGGTTTGATGTCCGGAAATCGCGTTAATACGGCCTATAAAGCGTTTTGAAACAGCGAAAGAACAAGAAGTCGTCGCACAATGCGAATGGCGTAACTAGTGGGCCGTCCAATGCTCCAACCCATTACAGAAGCTTGTTCTTGTTCTCTTATTAACTGTGGCACATACCCAGTTCAGGCATAATTCCTCATAGTTGTCAGCCACTGCATGAACAATTGGCACAAAATTCCTCGCAATAGTTTAGCGGATACCACGCTTCTAGGAAGAATGACAAGAAATGGCGAATGCCGCCTACTCTAAAAATTTTATTAGTGCTGTAGTAGGCATCAAGCAAGTGTGCTTGCAGCAGTTACCCAGTGAGAGTTAGAAAAGGCTCTGAAAGGTCACTCTTCTAGTTTTCGCTGTGACTGTGCTGCGCCTTCCGTGCAGACCTGGTGATTTTTTTTTTTTTCAACGGAACACGTACACATGACCAGTCAATTTTGGTGGCCTGTCGAATCCACGTGTTCAGCAAGAGCATTCGAGGTGATGCGTCTTTTCATGAGGTCGTATTCATGTTGTTTAATGGGGGACGTGCTCTTTGGGAACCAGCCTTCTTGTTTCTGGTTGGATATTGATAAAAATTGGCACACACTAAGAATGGCCTCACAATGCTTCCATGAAAATTTTAAGGGGGGATGTGGGGATCATTTAACTTTTTTGTTTCTTGGCCCAGGTTCATGAAGTTTGGTATACAGACTAAAAATCACATTAAAGAGATGAATGGAAATTTTCATTAAGATATCTTTACTTGTTCTCATTTTATAAAAAATTCTTGAATTAGTCGCTCGTGGAGAGTCTGGCACAGCAAGGAAACTTGCTGAAGTGCTGGAACTTTTAATGTATGTGTAGATATTGCTTGTAGCCAAAGGCAGTGCCAGGTTTTTTTTTTTTTAAGCCCTAAAAATATTCTAGTGAACATTATTTGCATATGCATGCGCTTCATCATGTCCTGCCTTTTCGTAATTGTGAACTTTCAAAAAAAATGGAAGCTTATACTAATATTTGCAGACTGCCTTCAGTTATGGCAAAGTCTACGAGTTACAATAAAACAAAGAATGAAAATCGGTGCGGCCATAGTCTCACAATGCTTTCCACGAGCAAGATGGTTGGCAAAAAAAAAAACATCACAGAAAATGGCTTCTAAAGTTTTGCAAATGTGGCACCTTTATTAAAATGCCCCAGGGCTATAGTCTTTGGCATCACTGTGAAGAGGCATCTTCTTGGACCTCTGTCCCTTGGTTTCTTCACTTCTACGTGCTTTTTTGACATGCAGGCAGTCTTTTCTTGAGCTCTCTGGAGAGCCATGAAACCAGGATGCGTACCCAATGTAACACACGTGTCAGAGTACATACGCACGCATCCTGAATTATTTCATTACTGCCTCGTTTACCGCTGTCTCTACAGGAAAAAGGGAGGCATGTTGGTCCTTGGATAGTAGAGACCAAAGCACAGAATGCAAGCTCTCGGTTGCATTTTGTCTTTCCTCCTTTACACCGCTCAAGCAGCTGTGCGTCTGCAAGGCGTTCATACACTGGAAACAGCGCTTTGGCAACTCTGTTGGAAAGCTTTTACTTGTGGGCTGGGGATGCATGTCCTTGTGCCTCTGCAACTCTGTCTACACCAGCTCGTAGGACCAGGGGGGCTCATGGTGAGGACCGCATAAAGAGAGCCGCGAACGCTCGATGCTTGCGCCTCCACCGCTCCCGCTGATATGTAGCGAGTCTTCAAGTGCGCCTGAATGGTGCGATATTTGTTTGACAACGTGTAAATTAAATTTTCGAACCACTGGCACACGGTGAATCAAACTTCCCGTCGAACCTCGTCGACGCGCGGGGAACGCTCCCTGGTAAGAGGCGCGCTTCCGCAGGCTTTTCTGGCGCTCGGTTGACGGCGTTGAGCAACTTGAAGCGAGCGCACACGGTGAATCATCGTTCACGTCAAAGCTTGTCGACAGAGGAAGATCGCTTGTAGATAAAGGGCGCACTTTCGCGTCCTTTCATCCGAACAGTAGTCGACGATTTCATGTTGGCTACGCGAGCGAGCGCTTGCGCGTCGAGGGTCGTTGTACCCACCTCAGCTCGCTCCCCCCCCCCCCCCCCCCTTTGCCGCTGCCACGCCCTGTATAGTTTTCAATCTGTTTGTGGCATGTATCCAATCTTTTTTAAGGGGGCAGACTCGTCTTTCGAACCAATAAGTGACAAAAAAAATTAATTTTTTAAAATTGACATACAGTCGAACCTCGCTGCAACGAAACTGATGGGGCATAGAAAACATTTCGTTAAGGCGAAGATTTCGTTGTAGTGAAATAGTAAAAATATAGCTGCTCTGAGTTAGCGAAACAAAGCAACGATTACTCTCCAAATTCAAAAAGTGTCCACTACTTCCTATTTTTCCCAGCAGCGTCACGACGGGATTCTCACCCATGCATAGCGAGGCCATGGTGAAAACCACACTGAAACAAGGCCTATAACCGCTTTTGTGAACGAACCAAACAGCTGCATTAACATGTTAACACCAGCAGCTGTCTGCCGTCAAAGTGTACTCGACAACGCTGAGATGGAGGCAGGGTATCGTGAAGCGGTGACTTTTGCTTTATTCTATGTCATTCTTACATCCACCACTCGCGGCTAGCTGATTTTGTTGATAATGCGGACTAACAGCTGCTCTGATTAGTTACCACAATGGCCAAGCGCGAATGAGATGGTACGCATTAGCATCGAAAAAGGCATTTTACACACTTGCGTGAAAGAAAACCATGGACAAAGCGACTGAGCTTCTGCTTTGAATCGTCTGGGGCTCAAAAGTAAGCCAGTGGCAAAAGCAGGGCAGTCTCATTGCTATTGCTATCGAGCAATGGCGGCACCCATGCTTGCTGAAGAGCGGTGGTTTCTGGTGGTGCCAACGCGGGTTTTAGACTTCGTCGACATATTTTCAAGTTCTGGAAATGCATCAAAATGTTAGTGTTTACTGTATGGCAATAAATATCTGAGCCTGGTATTGCATCGTGAAATTTTGTTAAAGCGGGATAGCAGAAGAAAGTGTTCGTTGCGAAGACATTATTTATAAAACCATGAACTTTTCGTGTTAGCGGAAATTTCGTTGAAGTGGCGTTCGTCGTAGCGGAGTTCGACTGTATTTGGTTTCTGCAAGTATTTTATCTCTGCAAATTTTCTCACACCAGGAAGTGGTAATTTTTTTCTGTCATTTTAACTGTCCAGATTCTTGGTGCTGTTAACATGCAGAACGTGCGAAAAAATGGGGACCGACTTTGAGGCTTCTTTATAATTTGCCACCGCCTGTGTTAGAAGCTCTGCTACGAATTTAGGGGGGGACACTGTACTTGAGACGAAATGTCGGATATTTCCATGCGTTTATAAAGAAAATTCACGGTGCGATTGAGTTTTGATGCTGATTTCAAAAATGCAATTACTGTTCCTCTAAACCAATTAGTTTTTGAGACATCCTAAAATTAATTACCTGTTGTTTGCCAGTATAATGAGACAGGAAATTTGTATTGCAGAGTTACTATTGGCACATGCCTGTATACTAATGAACATAAGCTACGCAACGGTAGGAGTTTTTATTTGATAATTTTAGCACGGTTTGTTGCACCTTGCACTTCAGTGTTGCAGACACGCCCATTTTATGCTCCAATTTCTGGCAAAAATTAAATTTTTTGAAGATTTTAATCATAAATTCACACCTACCATTGTGTAAACTAAAAATACAGCTACATGTCACAACTAAAGTGACAGTCCTAGCTGCTCTGGAGGCAGAGATATTTTTTAGACAAGTTTGCAACTGCAGCGAAATTTGAATCCTGAGAAATCATGCAAAAACACAAGTCCATTTTGGGCAGACAGTAGCATGGAAAATTTGTTTATTTACAATGATTTGCACATCCAGCTTTCTCAGTAGGCACCAGGCATATAGTCTTTCTGTTTTGCGTCACCTAAATGGTGGTTTTTCAATGCCTGCTGCATGTTTTCGGCAGAGGCACACTTGCGAGCTGATGCAAGTCACCGTGTGCGACGAACATGCGCGCGTTATCCGCGATTCGTCGTATAATGCGGTTTTCCGGCTTGTCCAGATTGAGTTGTTGACGTTGCAGAATGACCTCTTGCACTCTCATCAATTTCAAGGCTCCAAGAGCAGCGAGGTGTTAGTTTCCTTTTCACGTAAGATTGCCACATTTTCGAGTGAAGGCCGCGGTGCAATATGTTCATCGTTGCGTACACATCGTTACGAGCACTCTACCTGTTGTCAGTAGCCTTCATTGCACGGGCGGCGAGCACCTTCATTGTAAACAGATTGATTTTCTGTTTGCCGAAGTGCGGCTAACTCCACTCTGATGACCCGTCACGCAGTTCACATCCGACGGGGGAACCCGCGGCATTGGCACGTTTAGCGATAAGACTGCGCTTCCGTTCCATCGTGTCAAAGACTGCTATCTCTCGTAGCTTCACTTCTGCTTTTTTACTTGCCGTCCTGTAACTGTTGAAGCTCCAAACCATGGCTGCTTTCAGACGTTGTTGACAACCGACAGGCTCGTACATGAGTTAGGCCTACATCGGTGACTCTGTGACCGCCGTTGAACGCAGCGAGTTTGCTAT